CTTCTCACACAGCATAGGCGTATCTGACAAATCAAAATTCTGGTTTATTGAAACAGAAAAACTTGGCTAGTTTCCCCACAGAGGTCCCTGAACAGAAAGCAGCCAATTTAAATACGGGCAGTCTTCGACTTACGGACATAATAAAAGCTGCCCATCACAACCGTAAGTCACCCCAGTTGTAAAAGTGGTCAGTCACACGAGTGACCCAATCCTACAGATTTTTTTTTGCAGTGGTCGCTAAACAAATCACCACAGTTGTTAAGTGAATCTGCAGTTCTCGAGTGAACTAATGGTTTACTATGGGCACGGTTTTGCTGGCTTTCAGTAAAACTGTGGTGAATGCAATTGTGGGGCCATTAGGCTGCTGCACATGGAGTAAATGTGGCTGTGTTGCTGAGCACCTGAAATTTGGTCACATGAGGGTATGGCAACTATTGGAATTTTGAACCCGAGTTGTAAGTACAGGTAGTCCTCGACTTACAATAGTTCATTTAGTGACTAGTTACAACGGCATTGAAAAAAGTGACTTATGACCATTCTTCACACTTGGCCGTTCCAGCATCCCCATGGTCACGTGATTTACATTTGGATGCTTGACAATTGACTCACATTTATGAAGGTTGCAGTGTCCCAGTGTCCCCTTTTGCAACCTTCTGACAAGTCAGTGGGTCACTTAACAACCGTGTTACTAACTTAAGAACTGCAGTGCTTCACTTAACAAATGTGGTTAGAAAAGTCGCCAAATGGGGCAAAACTAACTTAACAACTTTCTTACTTAACAATATACATTTTGGCTCAATTATGGTCGTAAGTTGAGGACTACCCGTAATAAGTTGTAAGTAGGTTGTAAGATACCTCCATCATAACTCTGAAGAGTGGCTAAACATAAGTCAAAGATTATTCTATCTTGCTCTTTAAAATACATACAGTGTCACAAAATCAGAATATACCAAACTGGACTGCTGAAAAATACAGTATAATCCTCTTCCTCAGCCAACAGAAATCACAAGTGTGGAAATGATGCTGCTTGCTCAGAAAACAAAATTACACCCCCCCCCAAATCAGAGCAACAAAAAAGCTTCAGCACCTAGAATAATCCTTAAAAAAACTGAGTTTCTAAAGTGCTTCCAGCTGTTGATTCAGTAATTACACAGGACTTTCTTCTAGCTGTTCCTGGTATGGCTACAGCTGCTCTTTCCAGAATGAAGCGTTGCTGGCACACCGAAGTGGCTCAGAAGCGTTTATAGGAAATTGGACACTCCCTGGTGGAATGTCCCTCAATCCGAGAAGTGAGTCGCGAGGGGAATTTTTCACGGGAAAGACCCAAGAAAACACCATTTATCTCCCAACTTCCATTCAAATTGCCTCCAGTGCAATTAGTTGAGGAAAGCTGGGTTGGGTTTTCCCAACATGGTACAGGTAGTCCTCAACTTATGATCAAAATTAAGCCCAAAATTTCTGTTGCTAAGTGAGACAATTCTTAAATGAGTTTTGCCCCATTTTTAGAATCTTCCTTGCCACAGTTAAGGGAATCACTGCAGTTGTTAAGATAGTAACGTGGTTGTTCAATCAATCTGGCTTCCCCGTTGAATTTGCTTGTCAGAAAGTTGCAAAAGGTGATCACGTGACCCGGGACAGTGCAACCATCATAAATACGAGTCAGTTGCCAAGCATCTGAATTTTGATCTCGTGACCATGCGGCAACGGTTGTATGAAAATAGCAATAGCACTTAGATTTATATACCGCTTCATATTGCTTTACAGCCCTATCTAAGCAGTTTACAGAATCAGCATATTTTCCCCAACAATCTGGGTCCTCATTTTTCTGACTTCGGAAGGATGAAAGGCTGAGTCAACCTTGAGCCGATGAGACTCAAACTGCTGAACTGTGGGTATCAGCATTCAGCAGAATTAGCCTGCCGTATTCTAACCATTGCACCACCACGGCTCTTAAAACTGTAATAAGTTACTTTTTTTCAGCGCTGTTCTAACTTTGAATGGTCACTAAATGAATTATTGTAAGTCCAGGATTGCCTGTAGTGTTTCTCCAGAATATGTAAAGTTTTAAAACCAGTGGTATTTGCTCATGCTAAATACTAAATGAACTGGTGCACGTTGAGGTCTACCTGTATAACCCCATTGGCTGAGTTTACCAGGATCATGAGCTCTAAACATGATTTTCAAGGCACCATGACTGACTTCATACGCTGAAGTCCTAACACGGAAGCCACGGTATTTGCTTTGCGTCAGGGGGAGGGAACTGAATCAACAGCCAGGTTCAGATTTTAGCAATAGAGTTCCACAGTCTCCAACATTCATTAGAATAAAAATAGAGACATTGGAAGTTGTGCAGTGGTGCTTAAAAGTATGTGAGCCCTTTTGAATCTTCAGCATTTCCGCATAAATATGACCTAAAATACGTTCTATTTGCCACACAAATCCTAAAACTAGATAGCAAACCCATTAAACTGATGAGTCAAAAACATTGTACTTGTTTATTGATCTATTGACGAGAGTGATTCAAAGCTATGTATGTAGTTTTAGGATGTGTGGATAACAAACAGATCACATTCTGGGGCATACATTATTTATGCAGAAATGTTGAAAATTCAAGAGTTCGCCAACATTTAAGCACTGCTGTAGATATCCGTCATAGAATACAGGCAGTCCTCAACTTACAACCTTTCATTTAGTGCCCGTTCACTGAAAAAAGTGACTTATGGTCACTTATTATATGATAATTTTTGGTTTCGTCTATAGAGAATGTTTTTTGGTTTCGTCTATAGAGAATTTATTGTTTTTTGCTGATAGTGGCCTAGAGTTACATAGCTAAGATAGGTAGCCATATACATTTTCTAAATAAATAAAATGAATAAGTCTCAATAGTCCAATGTCATTTATTCCACCTTGTCAACCATAAAGCTGTTGGAAGGATTGTCCAGTTATGGATGGAAAGCACCTGGGTGTGCCTCCCTTTCCTTCCTTGTTTTTCTTTTCTTCTGCAGAGGTATGAATGTTTATTCAACATTGTTAAATATCTAATGCCAATTAATAAGTAAGTAAAAAACCTCAAGTTGATGACATGCGTTTTATGCATCAGGGAAACGGAAATGGAATAAATACTGTATATTCTTTTTATATTCATTTTTAAAATCACTCTTCCGTGGTCTTATTTATTTGTAGTCTCCCTTGTTTTTAATAGATGTAAGAGCTGTTTTGTTTTATGGTAAGCCACTCAGAAATGGGTGGTTACCGTATATTCCGGCGTGTAGGGTGACCCGGCGTATAAGACGACCCCCGAGTTCGACGCTGAGTCGCAAGACAATCGTCGCCAAGTCGCATGCCTAGAAAGTCATCTTATACGCTGGAAACTACCGGTATTTCCGGCGTATAAGACGATTGACGCCATTACGGTTGATTTTGATGTTAAAGAAATTAATTTGATGTTGAACCTTATAACAGCTGCAAGATTATTGGTGGGGCAAAATTGGAAGAAAAACTCTTTGCCTATTATGGAAGAATGGATACTTAAGGTGTGCAACTTAGCAGAAATGGCGAAAATTTCCACTTATTTGAAGGACCATTCACAAGAAAAATACATTTCGGTCTGGAGAAGATGGATTGATTATATTCAAAAGAAATATGAGACTGAAAAGTACTACCTTGCTTACGAGTAGATTTTAGGTTATTGTTAATAGTTTAACATGATTGAATTTATACTATTTTTAGTGTTATGGTTTAACTGTATTATTATTTTTATTTTCAATTTGTTAATATTTGTTTTGAAAAAGGAGTTAAAGTATGTTATGGATTTGATTGTTAGTAGAGTTGGGTAATGTTAGTTAGATTATGATTATTTGTAAACCCGTAATCAGCTCTGGGAAGTAGGGGAGGAGGGAGGGGTAGGAGGGTTTTGGGTTATATATTGTAAAAAAAATTTAAAACTTTTAATAAAAAAAAAAGACGATTGATGCCGAGTTGCATGCCTAGAAAGTAGCCTTATACGCCGGAAACTACCTTATTTTCGGCGTATAAGACGACCCCAGAGTTCGGCGCCCGTTTCAACGCTCTCAAAAGTCGTCATATGCCGGAATATACGGTATATAAATTAATATACTAAGCTTCAGCAATAACCCGTCCTAATGAATACTGTGCCTTAAATTAAAATGTACCTTTTTTCTTAAAACAACCCAACCCTTCAGAGATTGCCAAATCCCACTGGTTCTGGATGAAATTGTGCCATATTTTGGGTAGCTCAGGAGGGGGAGCCCTCCACCCCCCAAAATGCCACTCATCAGGTATCTGAACCATGGCTTCCAAAGTGGGATGCCAGCAAAAGCAGCCCCAACCCTGCACTTTCCAGAGGCTCCAATTCCTTGTTGTCTGTGAGATTGAACTCTTTTACAAAATAGTAGAAGTGCTTATAACCTTTCATTTAGTGACCGTTCACTGAAAGAAGTGACTTATGACCATTTTTCACACACTTATTGGAGCCCCAAATCTCTGCTGCTCAGTGAGACATCTGTTAAGCAAATTTTGCCCCAATGTACAACCTTTCTTGTCACAGTTGTTAACTGAATCTCTCCGTTTGGTTAGTTAGTAACACGGCTGTTAAGTGAAACTGGCTTCCCCACAGATTTTGCTTGTCAGGTCACAAATGTGACCACGTGATTCAGGGACATTGCAACTGTCATAAATATGAGACAGTTGTCAAGCATTTGAAGTTGGATCATGTGACCATGGGATGCTGCAATGGTTGTAAGTGTGAAAAATGGTCACAAATCTCTTTTTTCAGTGCGGTTGTAACTTCATATGGTCATCAAACAAACCGTTGTAAGTCGAGGACTACCTATCATTTGGCTCACTGTGCGTGACCAAAAAGGGTAAGGTTAAATTGCCACAAGATAATTTCTGTTCATCTTCTTGGGAGAACAGGAAGCAGAGCCGCTACATACACATTCCAAGAGGAGATTTCAAGTGAAAGAAGTGCTAAAACTTTATTTTTTTTGCAACACGGGTGATTCCAATTAACGGCCAAAGCAGACTCCTAAGCTATTTACATGTGTGTCAGTGGATTTCTCCTCATTTCAGTTGGTTGCTTGTTTGATTCCACAAGTGTTGACTTCTGTTTTGGCGGAAAACCTCAAAACAACACTTCCAAATCAGCCCCCCCCTCCCCCCCGGCCCCGTGACACGAGAAGAAAGACATGGAGATCTAAAGGATGCCTTACATTTAACGGTGGTTCTTTTCTTTTTTAAACGAACGTACATACTTCAATCATCCAACAATCAGAGTGATTTTACAAAACATTTCATTACAAGAGCTTGGGAAAGCTCTTTTTTTAAAAAACAAAAAACAGAGGTGTATAAAAATTAAAGTCCCTCCAGATGATAAGATCTTGTTTGGTGGGCAGGGATGGTCTTCAATCCAGGGCCAGGTTTTCTGACGGCATCGGCTTGAAAGACGGCAGACAAATTCCTAAGACGTCAGTGACACATCCGCGAAGTCATGTCCTTCTGTCAAAGACAGCACAGTTAAATGTCACTTAGAAATCACATTTCCAAAAAAATATGTTATTACAAGTAGTCCTCGACTTAGGACTATAATTGAGCCCAAAATTTCTGTTGCTAAGGGAAACAGTTGTTAAGTGAGTTTTGCCCTATTTTACCTTTTTTTTAACCACTGTTTTAAAGTGAATCACTGCAGTTGTTAAATTAGTAATATGATTGTTAAGTGAATTGGGTTTCCCCATTGCTTTTGCTTGTCAAAAGATTATAAAAGGTGATCACAGGACTCCGGGACACTGCAACCATCATAAATATGAGTCAGTCGCCAAGTATCTGAATTTTGATCAGGTGATCATGGGGATGCTGCCATGGTCATGTGAAAAACAGTCCTAAGTGACTTTTTTCAGTATTGTTGTAATTTGGAACGGTTACTTAATGAACCATTGTAAGTTAAGGACTACTCGTATACTGAACTAAAGTAACCCATGAATTATAACTGGTTGCTTAATAACCATTCAAAGTTCTGATAGCCCTTCCTGTGGGCACTTATGACTCCATTTTGAAGTCAAAATGGCCACCTCCCCTCCTAGCCCATGTGACTGCACTCTGGGCACTTGGCAACTGGACCGTATCAATGGCTATTGGCAGAGTCCTGGGGTCACAATGCCGAGTTTTACAACAGTTTTGCCGAAAAGCTGCATTTATTTCTGGTTTTCAGCAAAGCCAGCCCATAGCAAACCACTGATTTGCTTAACAACCACCACAAAATAGTCATTAAACCATCGTACTCTGGTGGTGTCCTGTCATCGTGCTGAGGGGGGAACAGGGGATTGCATGCTCAGGATTTTTCCGCTTCTGCAGTTCGCTTGGGAATTAAGGAGTGGGACTCTCTTCAGAGACGGGACAGAGTTGTTCCCAGCCGGTTTTCATGCCCTGAGTGTGATTTGTTATCTGCCTATCACCTCAACACTCTCAAAACGTCTTCTTGGATCACACTAGTTGCCAGTGGGCTGATGGGGGAGGGGGGTTGGGACTGGGGAAACCAAAAGAATTGCTTTGTGCTTTGGTGAGACCTTCAGATTCCGCCTGACTTTACTGCATCCAGTTTCTCTCAGTAAACGTTCTTTTGATTCAAGTCAATGGATTCAAGAGACTTGCTTTCCTGAGGGGACCAACTGGGGCAGGTCAGACATCAGGCGGAATCTGAGAGTCCCGCACAAAGTGTAAAGCAATTCTTTTGCTTTTCCAGTGACCTACGTGCAGTAGTATGCCCCCAAAATACCCACTGAAGGCGCTAAGGTGAGGAATTTCACCCTGGCACTGGAAGGAGGGCAATTCAAGGGGTGCTCCATTCCGGGAGCCACTGTAAAGTTTAGAGTCTCGGTATGGCCCCCTATCAGCCATCCTGGACTAAGTTTGCACCAAATGTTTCTTGCAGACGTTTCATTATCTACCTTAGATAACATCAACAGGGCTAGTGTATATCCATACCACAGGATCTCAAAATTAATGCAATTTAAAAAAAAAGCAGAGTTGTCATTTGACCCTTGTGCCAATGACAAGAAAAGCAAACAAACTCATGTAGAACTGATGGGTACAACAGAAGCCGCCCTGCATGTGGGAATTACAGAGTAAAATAAAGGTAGTCCTTGACTTATAACCATTCTTTTAGTGACCATTCGAAGTTACTGGGACACTAAAAAAAAGGACTTATGACTATTGTTCACACTTACGACTGTTGCAGCATCCCCATGGCTACATGATCCAAAGAGCCTCCAAAGAGCCGAGGTGGCGCAGCAGTTAGAGTGCAGTACTGCAGGCCACTTTAGCTGACTGTGTTCAGCAGGACAGCAGTTCAAATCTCACCGGCTCAAGGTTGACTCAGCCTTCCATCCTTCCGGGGTAGGTAAAATGAGGACCCAGATTGTTGGGGGCAATGTAAATATATATATATACATTGCTTACTGGTGTACACCGCTTAGAGAGTGCTTGCACTTAAAGCGGTATATAAGTCTCATAAAATAAATAAATAAATAAATAAATAAATAAATTTGGGTGCTTGTTAACTGGGATGAATTTATGATAGTTCCACTGTCCCAGGATCATTGATCTTCATTTGTAACCTTCCTAGTTGGCTTCCAACAAAGTCAATGGATGAAGTCAGATTCACTTAACCACCACATAATATTACAACTGCAGCAATTCGCTTAACAGTTGTGTCAAAAAAGGTCGCAAAATGGGGCTAAACTCAGTTAACAACTGCCTTGTTTACCAACAGAAATTTTGGGCTCTATTGTGCTTGTAAGTCAAGGACTACCTGTATTTATTTTTAAAAAACAGCCCGTTAGCCTTTCTGGAGGCTAATTTTAAGGTAGGGAACACTTGGGTAGGACTACAGCAGACAATGGAACTGTATGCCATTTTAATTCCTTTCTATGCCAAAGAAGGCAGCCCACCTAAACAGTGCTGGGTTCAGAGTGCAGAACACCACCAACACCACCTGGTGCCAGGGTTAAGTGGGCATCTTCTCCAGCCTTTCTTTCCATTCTCTGTGGTCACATTGTCAAGGTAGTTCTGGGTGCAATTCAAGCTGCTGGTTATCACCTTTACAGCCCTGCAAGGTAGTACTTATGAGATTATCTATCTCCATCCCATTTTTGCCCATCCCACACGATTTGAGAGGGCTGGAGCACTCCAGGTCCATTCTGAAACCAAGAAGATGTGCCTTCTCTCTTGTGGCATTTGCCTTATGGAATAGTCAAAACTTTAAGAAGTGTGGACTTCAACTCCCAAAATTCCTCAGCCAGTGTACTGGCTGGGGAATTCTGGGAGTTGAAGTCCAGACATCTTCATGTTGCTAAGGTTGCGAAACACTGGATTATATAGTGTATCCATTATTATATGATAATTTTCATTCTGTTTTTTGGTTTCGTCTACAGAGAATTTATTGTTTTTTGCTGATAGTGGCCTAGAGTTACATAGCTAAGATAGGTAGCCATATACATTTTCTAAATAAATAAAATGAATAAGTCTCAATAGTCCAGTGTCATTTATTCCACCTTGTCAACCATAAAGCTGTTGGAAGGATTGTCCAGTTACGGATGGAAAGCACCTGGGTGTGCCTCCCTTTCCTTCCTTGTTTTTCTTTTCTTCTGCAGAGGTATGAATGTTTATTCAACATTGTTAAATATCTAATGCCAATTAATAAGTAAGTAAAAAACCTCAAGTTGATGACATGCGTTTTATGCATCAGGGAAACTGAAATGGAATAAATACTGTATATTCTTTTTATATTCATTTTTAAAATCACTCTTCCGTGCTCTTATTTATTTGTAGTCTCCCTTGTTTTGAATGGATGTAAGAGCTGTTTTGTTTTATGGTAAGCCACTCAGAAATGGGTGGTTATATAAATTAATATACTAAGCTTCAACAATAACCCGTCCTAATGAATACTGTGCCTTAAATAAAAATGTACCTTTTTTCTTAAAACAACCCAACCCTTCAGAGACTGCCAAATCCCACTGGTTCTGGATGAAATTGTGCCATACTTTGGGTAGCTCAGGAGGGGGAGCCCTCCATCCCCCCAAATGCCACTCATCAGGTATCTGAACCACAGCTTCCAAAGTGGAATGCCAGCAAAAGCAGCCCCAACCCTGCACTCACCAGAGGCTCCAATTCCTTGTTGTCTATGAGATTGAACTCTTTTACAAAATAGTAGAAGTGCTTGTAGCAGGTATTCACATGGGCTTCCGAACCCATTTGAGCGATACGATCAAAGTGGTGGATGTAGACATGGACAAAGACGCGGAAGAGACGGGAGAGGATCTTTTTCACAAGTTGGAGGAAGTTCTTAGGAAATGGAGTACCTGTGGAAGACCGTGACAATTAATTTTCTTCCTTTCCCTTCCCTTCCTTCCTTCCTCCCTCCCTCAATTTATTTAATCAATTTATCGTATCAATGGCAGGAAAGATGGTAGGCCAATATTATCTATGCAAGTTGTATACTTCCAAAATTGGAGTATCCCTTTCCAGCACCAAGGAAGAGGAAAGAAAATAAGGAAGAGTTGGGCTACATACTCTGCAGCCAAAATAGGCGACTATAATTTAAGATTTCACCAAGATATAAACTGAGTTCAGAATACTATGCTGAACACTAACCTGATATTCTGTTTAATCAACAGACTAGAATTGAGCAAGCCAGAGCTGAGTGTAAAGGCAGCTGTAGAGAGGATGAAGCAAGGAGAACTGGATTTCAATACAACTCCCTCTCAATATCCATCCATTATGGTGTAAGGGGTATGTGTGGAATTAACAGAAGGGAAGGAGGGAGGCTGCTTGCTTATGAAGTTGGACAAAGAACATTGTGGATTATATATCAACCCTTCAGAGACTGCCATCTGAAGTCCCACTGGTTCTGGATTTAAAATTGTTAAATCTGTCTTGCTGCCCAAGCTCCTCAAGGAGCCCTCCATCCCCCCCCTTTTCTCATCAGCCTCCCGATCTGAAGCAATCAAGGGGATGCCAGAGCAAAAGCTTTTTTACCCTGCACTCACCAGAGGCCCAATTCCTTGTTGTCAAGAGTCAAGTAATGAAATAGTAGCTTCGTGCTTCCTTTCAGGTATTCACTGGGCTTGAACCGAACCCATTTGAGCGATACATCATAAGTGGTGGATGTAGACATGGACAAAGCCTCGGAAGAGACGGGAGAGGTATCTTTTTCACAATTTTGGAGGAAGTTCTTAGGAAATGGAGTCTGCCTCTGCACCGTGACAATTAATTTTCTTCCTTTCCCTTCCCTTCCTTCCTTCCTTCCTCCCTCAATTTATTTAATCAATTTATCGTATCAATGGCAGGAAAGATGGTAGGCCAATATTATCTATGCAAGTTGTATACTTCCAAAATTGGAGTATCCCTTTCCAGCACCAAGGAAGAGGAAAGAAAATAAGGAAGAGTTGGGCTACATACTCTGCAGCCAAAATAGGCGACTATAATTTAAGATTTCACCAAGATATAAACTGAGTTCAGAATACTATGCTGAACACTAACCTGATATTCTGTTTAATCAACAGACTAGAATTTAGCAAGCCAGAGCTGAGTGTAAAGGCAGCTGTAGAGAGGATGAAGCAAGGAGAACTGGATTTCAATACAACTCCCTCTCAATATCCATCCATTATGGTGTAAGGGGTGTGTGTGGAATTAACAGAAGGGAAGGAGGGAGGCTGCTTGCTTATGAAGTTTGACAAAGAACATTGTGGATTATATATTGTCTGAAACCCAGTTATCTGAGTTCCAGTTTAAAATTTAACAATTTAATTTATTAAATCTGTCTGCTGCCCAACCCTCAATCACTGAGCATTTTCCCCCTTTTTATCTCCTGATCTGAAGTCTCCAATCTCAGGAATAATCAAGATCTCAAGATTCCAACCTTTTTTACAAAACATTCCGGGCCCCATAGATATTGCACAAAGTCAAGTAATGAAATGAACACTTCGTCAAAATTCCTTTCTGTATGTAAATGGCTCCATTCTTGAACTGCTTTCATTGTTCAGAATTTGCTCCTAGGTTCAGCCAATATTTTGGGAATTTTAAGTTCCTTAAGAGTTGCCTCTGCCCATTTAGGTATCAATCCACCTATTTTTATTTTCATATTTTTAACCACTTATAAAGGGGTCCTTAGAGGCCTCAACCCTCTGCATTTGTTCAGCCTCCTGCTGGCATCCTCAGTGACACGCCTAAAAACCAGTTTCAATCACACCATTCCTGCTATGACCATCTTGACTTTTTTGAACATACTACAAAGCCCATGTATCTACCACTTGATCCAAGTTTAGGTCTCATCCCTCCAAATATCTAACTACCATAACATAAAAGCAGAGTTTAATAACTACAAGTAGTCCTCTTATTTGGTGACCGTTCAACGTTACAATGGCACCAAAAAAAGTGACTTACTACCGGTTCTCACACTTACGACTGTTGCAGCCTCCCTCCTGTCATGTGATTAGAATTTAGGCATTTGGCAACTAGTGAGAGTCGCAGTGTCCTGGGATCATGTGGTTGCCATTTGCACCCTTCCCAGCTTGATAAGCAGAGTCAATAGAGGAAACTGGATTCATTTAAGAAATGCATAATTCACTTAACAACTATAGTGACTCGCTTAACAACTGTAGCAAAAAAAAATTCATAAAATTGAGTGTGATTCACTTAACTACTGCCTTGTTTAGCAATGGAAATTCTGTTCCCAGGTGTGGTTGTTAAGTTAGAGGAGTATAGGTAATCCTCGACTTATGACCACAATTGAGCCTAAATTTATGTTGCTAAGTGAGACATTTGTTAAGCGTATTTTGCCCCATTTATGATCTTTCTTGCCACAGTTGTTAAGTGAATCACTGCAGTCAAGTTAGTAACACTGTTGTTAAGTGAAGCAGGCTTCCCTGCTGACTTTGCTTGTCAGAAAGTCACAAAGGGATATCATGTGACCCAGGGACACTGCGACCGTCATAAATATGAACCAATTCACAGCTTCTGAATTTTTAATCATGTGACCATGGGGATACTGCAGGGGTTGTAAGTACCGAAAATAAGATAGGGTCTTGGTTTTTTTTTTTTTTGCCCCCAAAAGAGGCACCAGGTCTTATTTTTGGGGTAGGCAGCGACAACCCCACCCAGACAGTCCACTTCTTCTGGGGCTGAAGTTTTGCAGCTGCATTCGGGCCTGCATTTTGCAGTCAGGCCTTTCCAGAAGGCCTAAGCAGCCGAGTACCAAGCTATAGATTCAATCCATAGCTTGGTGCTCAGCTGCTGAAGTCTTGCAGAACAGAGCTATGGATTGAATCAACCCTGTGACTGAGAAATGCAGGCCTGGCTGCAGAAGAGGCCGCAGAAGAAGTGGGCCAGCAAGGAGAGGCCTGGCTGCAAGGTAAGTGGGTGCGGGGCGGGTAGGGCAGCTCCCCACTCCCACCCTAGCTTGATTTTTAGGTGTGTACCTCGCCCCCAAACTAGGGCTTATTTTTGGGAAAAGGCTTATATTAGGCCCACACCCCAAAATCAAGCTAGGCTTATTGTTGGTATAGGCCAGTGATGGCGAACCTTTTAGAGACTGAGTGCCCAAACTGCAACCCAAAACCCACTTATGCATCGTCGAGTGCCGGGTGGGTGTGGCCCATTGGGTGGGCGTGGCTGCGGTGGTAACGGCAGACTGGGTGGGACTAAAAAGTTCAATCAATCAATTCCAACTTTGCAAGATCTTTTTTTTTTCCCGCGAGAAGCTGAAATTGACTGATTGAACCTCTTTTTTTTGTACACGGTGGTGGAGGCCTAAAGCAAAAAGGTTTTATAAAACCCAGCTGTAGGCCTAGGACTGGGGCGACGGGACGCGTACCCACAGAGAGAGCTCTGAGTGCTGCCTCTGGCACCTGTGCCATAGGTTTGCCACCACTGGTATAGGCCTTACTTTCAGGGAAACACGGTATGAAAAACGGTCATGTCACTTTTTTCAGTGCCGTTGTAACTCTGGATGGTCACCAAATGAACTGTTGTAAGTCGAGGACTACCTGCACTTGTAATTCCATGATTATTAAGTATACAGTTGCATTAGTCATTTTTGCCTAAAGCTCATGTTCATTTTATGATCAATTCTCTAATTTTCTTCCCAGCCTGTTCAACATCTTCCCATCAAACTCACCAACGTTTGTAGGGAAGAGATCCTCGTTGTTGATCTGTACTTCAATCCAATCCATGAGAAGGTTCATGTATTTAGGCGCAGAAAGGGCAGTGGGCTTGCGGTATTTCTCATCCTGCCACCGATACTCATACTTTGGGCCACCGGACATGACCGGGCAGGACTTTTCTGTGCAATAATCACTTATTGTCCCATAAATGAGGTTGATGCGGTTGAAAAAGTCCACCACATGAACAGCCACCCAATCGTTCAGTTCCTCATCATGTGGGAGCTGCACAGCCAGCTTTAAATCCAGCCCAGCATTAAGGGATGCCTGGGCCTTTTTGTGAAGCTCAAAGCGCTGTGTCCCGGGTTCAAATTTCCGTTTAGGCCGGAAGGTCCGATCCTTGTTAAAAACTTGTTTCAAAGGGTTGGCCATCTCCTGCTCCCCAAAGTTTCTGAGATCTAGGAAACCACCACCACCACGACGTGCCTTCCAGGGACGACTGCTATAACCAACACCTTTAAATCTCCTTTTGAATTCCACTGGTGAAATCCGTAATCTGCAAGACAAAAATATATACAAAGAAGTTTGAGGGAGGTGGGAAAGGAAAGAAATCTAAAGGACGGTCTCAAAACAAATTGTAAAATATGGTTCTTTGGGTACTTCTTTTATATTCTATTCAAATTCCCATTTTAAAAAAACAAGGTAGTATTTACACATATGGCTGGGTCAAAAAACTTGCCTTAGTGGAAATGCAACTTTGAGAAAAAGACAGTAGCAATAGTAAGATGTACACAACAGCAATAGAAATAGCTCTCAATTTATGATCCTAATTGTAGCCTGCCTATTATGGTTGTAAGTCGTGACAGTCATAAAGCGGGTCATCCATGTGACTGATCCGGTTTTATGACCTTTTTAAGCTAACATTGGTCGTAAAGCAAACCCATTGTTTGTTATTGGGCGTTTTTGCCAAAAACTGGTTTCAGCAAAAATGCAGTAAAACATGGTCATATGACCATGGGATGCTGCAAATGACCATAAACATGGGCCTGTTGTCAATTATCTGACCTGCTTGGTCATGTGACTGCAGAGGCGTGGCCATCATAACTTTGGAACCAGGTCATAAGTAGCTCTCAGGAAGTCCTTCGTAACTTTGAATGGTCACTAAGTGTCTGGTCATAAGTTGAGAATTAGCTATACTATGAATGACGTGTGCAAGAAGTAAAGAGTTCTCAGCCTCACATTTAAAGAGAAAAAGAGAGACTCTGATTTCTTAGCATCTTCTCTGATTTGAAGAATCTTCATTGCTTCCTAACACTTCTAATATACTGCACATATCACTGAAAAAAGATAATAGAAATTTCTCTGGAGCAGTAATAGCTGTGAAGGTTGCCTGACTGAGAAAAAAAAAGGAGGGAGGTTAACAAGAAGACACCTCCTCTTCCCCTCCCTTCTAAAACCAGCTATTTAATTCCTTTAAGTTTCCTTTAATTACTTCCCACTCAGTGGCCATATAAGAATCTGTCTGGTAATTTTCCTGGGGTGGTGTCTGAATTTAAAATAATCATATCCAAAGTCCTTCTAGCCCAGCATCTGGTATCCCCCCTGGGATGCTTGCCAGGACATGTGAGCAAAACCTAAAGTTCATTCCCAATATTGATAGACTTACTCTGAATATGGGAGTTTCCTTATCTGCTTCTCAGCCCTGGATAGACCCAGCACCAATCAATCCAAGTTCCCTTGGGATTACCTCCATTGACTGCCAAAGCCACACGGGGCCAGTTTCTCCTTTCCACAAATCGGTATGCACAGATAGACACCTCCTAATGTTGGACCTTCCACCGATCCTGTTTGTGGAGAACCATGTATAAAAATCCCAATGAACTCCTCACTCAATCTCATCCAGAAAGCCACATTTTGAGAAGACTCCGCTAATTCTCAAAAAGGCCTCTCATCAGATGCAGTGTGAGAGCAAGTAGGGAGAAGGCAGCAGCAGACGGATGCTGTGACTCCCCGATTACTAAGAAACCACTCAGAACCTGCTGTCACCGCATCCTGTAAGCACCCATTTCAGTTCTGTTAAGAAAGCGGAAATCCAGTGAATGTTTACCCAACTTGCGAAAAGGAGAAGATAGCGAAGATCTCCTTTTGAAGCTCAAGACAACAAATTACTAATTTTCTTCTGAAATGAACCTGTTTGCTGCAGTTTAGCTCAGTCTTTCCCAACCCAGTAGCCTCTCTCCAGAAAAACTGATTCCAATCACCATAATCCACAGCAACAACAAAGAGCTTGGCAAGCCGGCCTTACGGGATGCTGGAGGAATTGGAGAAGGCAAGGCTGGATTTAACCTACCTTACAGGGTTGTAAGTAATAAGAAAAAAGTAGGGAGAGGTAGTGCTCTAGATGCCATTTTGAGCCCCTGTAGGAAAGGGAGAATATAACTACAGTAAATAAACAAAACCTGTATTACAGAAATTAAGGCATCTGGGGTAAGAAAAAACATATCTCAGTTTACAGTCTGTTTGGTACTGGCTTCAGATTTCCAGGAAATGCATAAGCAAGGCATTTCCCTTCTTGCACGATGTGCTAAGTAAGCTAGACTGCCTCTGCTTAGAGTGGTTCCATTCCATTGTCAAATCCATCCATCCATCTATCTATTGCAGCGGTTCTCAACCTGTGGGTCGCGACCCCTTTGGGGGTCGAACGACCCTTTCACAGGGGTTGCCTAAGACCATCGGAAAACACATATTTCCGATGGTTTTAGGAACCGAGACACCGCTCCTCTATCCGTCTCCGCACGGCTTCGAGCTGGGGGCCGTTGCAGCACCAGATTTGTTTCCATTGAGCATCTCCTAACGGAGGCTGCGCTGCTTTGTGGCCCTTTCCGCGGAGGAGGCTGAACTAAGCTCTGATGGTGCTGTCGCCCTATTGGCTCTCTCTCTCTCCCCGTCTGGGTGCTTCTCCAACCAGGCTGGGTGGAGTGGCCTTCCTGCTCCCCCCTCCCCGGCCAGCTGGATCTGGGCAGGCCGGCGACCTTCGAAAGTGAGGTGAGGACAGGCGAGGTGCGCTGAGCCCCGGGCACGGCGGGTGAGTGGGCGGCATCGGTGCGCGCTTGGAGAGCCCTTAGGGTTGGGGGTCACCACAACATGAGGAACTGTATTAAAGGTCGCGGCATTAGGAAGGTTGAGAACCACTGATCTATCAGGTTTCCCCAAAAATAAGACCCGGTTTCATACTTTTTTGCCTCCAAAAGAGGCAGTAGGTCTTATTTTGGGGGGGTGTCTTATTTTTTTCCCCGACACCAGCCTTGTGTTGCAGCAGCAACAGCTCGGTCCAGCAGAAGGCCGCGTGGCTGCTGGCCTATTTCTGTGGTGGCTCTCAGCAGGAGGCTGCGTGGCAAGGCAGTTGGGGGTGAGGGTAGAGCTGCCCCATAGGCCCTCAAACACTTTTCTCCCAAACGGAGATCTCATGGAGACTGGAATCTTTGTCTGCTTGTGAATGGTGCGCTTTGAAACGGAGCTAATCGCTCCTTTTCAAAGTGCCCCATTCGCAAGCAGACGAAGTTCCAGTGTCCGTCAGATCTTCGTTTGGGAGAAACGTGTTTGGGCGCCTATGGGGCGCTTGGGAACTGAGCGAATTGCTCGGTTTCCAAGCATCCCACAAGTGCCCAAACAGTTCCCCCCTCACCTCTGCACGCAGACTTACCTGCTCTGCGCCAAGGGGCCAGCGGGCTGCAGCTCTGCTGGACACCATCGGCCCCTGTATGCCCACCACTTATGCTGGCCACGCCCATCTCCCTGGGCTTATTTTTGAGGTAGGGCTTATATTAGGCCCACCCCAAAAAATCAGGTTAGAGCTTATTTTCAGGGTAGGTCTTATTTTTGTCAAAACACAGTATCTATCTATCTATCTATCTATCTATCTATCTATCTATCTATCTATCTATCTATCTATCTATCTATCTATCCATCCATGCGTCTGTCCGTCCATCCATCCATCCATCCATCCATCTGTAATAACAACCCTGTGAAGTGGGTTGGTCTGAGAAATGACTGGCCCAAAGTCACTGGACAAGAACTCACAGTGTCCCCTGCTTTCTAGGCCAGCATCTTAGCCGCTACTCTAAACTGGCTCTCCATCATACAACACATGAAGATGACTGCCTTGTAATTCAGTGCATTCTGAAATCATCCTCCTTTGATTTTGGGCAATACAAGGTAGTGTGCATAATGCTGCCATCCATTTCCCCACAACAGCAACCCTGTGAGGTGGATTCAGCTGAGAGGGAGGGATTGTCTCAAAGTCATTCAGCTGGTGTTGATGCCTAAGGAAGACTAAGACTCACAGTCTTCCAGTTTCTGGCCAGCATCTTATCCACTACACCAGGGCTCTGGTCATGGTCCGCTGCAACTATACCGGCTAGGGAATTCTGGGAGTTGAAGTCCACAAATCTTAAAGTTGCCAAGTTCGGAGACTCCTGCACTACACCAAACCGACTCTGGATTTGAATAACACCAATGAGAAATTCAGGAGGACAGCAAAATTTATCTCGATCTGCTGACCAGGCAACACATTTGTTTATTGACTGTGTTTCTAAGCAACCCCACATCTGTGGTTCTCTGGATGCTGTATACCCAACTATTGAGGCTTATTTTATACAGAGAAAACCGCACCACCAAAAACATCAGAAACTAAGAAACAAAAAACTGGTGCAAAAGTAATTGTTGTGAGACCCATGCCATTGCACTAATAAAATATAAAAAATGTAAGTTCCAGAGTTAGATGGTTATGAACACACTTGAGAACAAAAGGGCCACATTGTAGGTGTTCCTGAATGCCAATTCAAACTAGTGCAGTGTTTCTCAGCCTTGGAAGTTTATTGTAAAGTTGCCAAGATTGAGAAACACTGGACTAGTAATTTCTGGAAATAAGGAGTACATGAGTCCTAATAATGCTTTAGGCAGAGAAGCCAGCTGGGAGACTTTTGGCCAGTTTTTCTATCTCAGCCAAAGGAAGAAGCCAATGACAAACCACTTCTGAAAAAGTTGCTAAGAAAACAGCATTTACTTGTCCGGGTAGCTGCCAGGAGTCAAGACACCAAAAATAGATGCTCCTATTAAAAAGGTGAGTTTTCATCCTTGAGCCTCAGCTATATAATTTGATTAAGTTTCATTTCTCCTGTGGGGCATCCACAGGAGAAATGAAACTTAATCAAATTACATAGTTTGTAAGCCAGCCAGAGTCTGTGGTTCTATGGCCTTACAGAGGAGATAGGCTGCATAAAAATTTAATTAAACAAATTAAACAAAGCCATTCCTCTTAATGGCTGGGAAATTCTGGGAGTTGAAGTCCACACAGCTTAAAATTGCCAAGGTTGAGAAATCCTGATTTACAGAGGTAAACAGGCGAAGCAATCAATTTACAAAAACACATTCAAAACAAGATGTACAGACAGCATAGGCAAAAGATGTATGGAAGCCACTGAGGAAGAGTGTCAAAGTGTTTGTTTTCCTATCAACCCCCAACTTGAAGTTCCTCAATTCGGCTGAACTGATGCAAAACCTCAATGAGTAATGCCGCTGAAGTGCATTGGCGGGGACAGCTGCCCTCCACCAAAAAGCCACTGAAAAGGGGAATAAAAAATTAAAATACCTAGTAACCTTATTTATTTAGAAGGGCCACTTCCTCTGCCATTTAAACTTTCTGAAAGGGTGTGTTGGCCTTTGGCCAACACAACAGCAGGATCCGAAAACAGCTGCAAAGCTGAAGGGGGAAGAGAAGACATATAAAAAAGAGCCAGTTTAAAGGGGCAAGGGAAGATCACCCTTCTCGCCTTATTTTGTAAGTAAAAGTCCCACTGGAGTGAGAGAGTGAAGGGTACCTCAAAGGTCATCAAGGCCAACCTCCTCCTATCAATAGCATAGCTGAGATATGGCTGTCCCATTTCAGCTTAAGCTGAGTTTAGTGCCACCCAAGGCAGGATGTTCCACTTCCAAACAGCTCTTAATTCAATAGCTACCATAATGCATGTCAGGTCATTGATTTTGCTTATTCACATGAATAATAATAAAAAAATTACATTATAATCAATTCTCATGGCTTCTCTGGATGAACTTCCATATATGAAGAGAGGAACAATCTATCATAATTAGCAGTTACTCTTTCTGTCTTACTACAGGTAGTCCTCGATTTACAACATTACATTTAGTGACCATTCGTTACACCATTGAAAAAAGTGACTTATGACCAGTTTTCACACTTATCACCTTTGCAGCACCCCCAGGGTCACGTGATTTGCATGCGGATGCTTGGCAACTGGTTCATATTTATGACGGTTGCCGTGTCCCGGGGCCCTGTGATCATCTTTTGCGACTTTCTGACAAGCAAAGTCAATAGGGAAACCAGATTCACTTAACAACTGTGTCACTAATTTAACAACTGCAGTGATTTGCTTAACAAATGTGGCAAGAAAAAGTTGTAAAATCAGGCAAAACGTCTTACTTAGCAACATAAGCTCTGGGCTCACTTGTGGTCATAAGTCGAGAACTACCTGTACTAGACTGACTCACTCCAGCTGGGGTTGGAGTAAGATTTGAACACTTCCAGTATGCGTATAATCATTTAGGCACCATTACATGTGAATTATGTGAATTGGACACTTGACAAATAGCTTGTATTTCTGACGGTTACAGCATCCCAGGGTAACATGACCTCCATTGGTGACCTTCCTATGGGGCTTCCAATGAGCAAAATTAATGGGGGAAACCATTTAATGATCACATGATTTAGATTTTATGGATTTTCCCCCTTATCCCTAGTAAATGATGATGGAACAAAGAGGAGGGGAAAGTATTTTAATAGCTCACATTTTAAAGAAGGAGAAATAGATATTAGTCCTCAGAAAAGTAGAAAAATGTTGGGATCTCCCTTTCCAGCATACCAAACCACATCTTGTTATTTAAAAAAACAAACAAAAAAACCACTAAGGCTTTGAATAGTTGGACTTCTGGCTTCTTAATAGTTTATTGAAATGATCACATTTTCAAGATGACTTTCAGCTACAGGAAATTCTTTGTGTATTTCTACGTGGAACTCAGCCAGACTTTTTAGAGAAAATCTTATTCCCTCCATCAGTTAGAAATGACACCCCAGCAGGATGTTGGTTTGGACAGATTCTACTCTGCTTTTCAGAATACAGTACAGAGAATTTAGCCTGCAATCTTAGATAGCCAAAACTTCTGGTGTGAATTTCCAGATAGTTCTAACTCACCCTCAGGATTCACTACCTGAAAAATAGGATTACTAGTAAGCACTTAGAGGGCACAGGCAGTATGAGGTAATATGAATGGCTAGGATAATAAGTCACTTATTAACAATAAATACTTATCATTTTTAGAACACAAAACAATAATTTGCTGAAGCTCATGAGGTTATTTTGAATTGTGTGTACACAAGATAGGATAACTGCCAAAACTTCAAACTTGGCACTTATGAAGAACACATTAAATAACATTGAGCTAAATATAAGCAGCCATATGAAGAGCCCCATAATATACACTCACTGATTCAATACACCAGGCAAGACTACGCTAAAATGGAATAGGATAGTTGGCAGATTAACATACAATGAGAACCCAAACATTGTTTTAAGAGGTTGTGGGAACTTTGCATTAAACATGAGTATTAGTTCTGGGTTACAAAGCTCAAAAAATGATTAAGTGTTATCTAGATTTACACAGCCCTGATCTGGCAGCCTACGTCAATACACTGAGTATAGCAGTGGTTACAAGAAAGCAAAACATATTTGTTAACTTAGTTTTAATTTGTTGTTTGAAACCCAGCAACTGTGAATGAAGGCAGGAGAATCCATTCAGAATTCCTGAACTTTCAAGAGATATTGAAATTCCTGCAAGTCTCTTTCCCAATACAGCTCCACCCCAGTGCCAAGGAAATCTGGAAACATATTAAGCAACAACATTCACAAGCCTGCTATCCTCCAGATTTGTTAAACTATAACTCTCATCGTCCTCCACCATCTTGGCTGTCTGACAAGAAAGCAGAGCTACAAGGCTGGGATTTTGAGATGACCAAATTTACAACCCATCACATTTGAGAAGGGGGGCAATGAAGCTTTTATCTTTTTTCTCTCGGGACCCTTCCCCGCTTACAAAAATCACGTAAAACTCCTAAAGAGGTTTTATTTATATGGGTTGTATTTACTAATATTTACCATACTGAAAATTAAAACTGCTGCCCCTGTTGCTTCTCATGATTGTTTGATGGGAATTCTTTAATAGGCTGACAAATAATTTTGATTCTGTGAACTCCTTAAAGGTCTTGGGGGACCTTCAGGGATCCTGGGACCACACTTTCCGAAGTTCTAAAGATTGCCAAGACCCTTAGCATCATCAAAGTAAAAATGTTTGTACTATTTCAATCAGCAATCAAAATCATTTTGCAAATGCTGTTAGCAAAGGCATGGGTCACAAAAAAAAAAGCAACAGAAAATTAGCAACCTGTAAGATGGATGGACTTCAATCCACAGAATTCCCCCGTGCTGGTTGGGGAGTTCTGGGAGTTGAAGTCCACCCATCTTAAAGTTGCCAAGGCTGAGAAACAAGAGCTTTAGAAAGATCGCCTTAAGGTCAGGAAAGCCACACACCGCCTCTTTTCAAACCGCCTCCACATCACGGATATTCACAGCTATTTAATCGCAGAAACCAGCTTGTAAAACTTTCCATACCACCGGAGGTAAAGAGGATTAACCGATCCGGAGTAGGAAATGTTGTGAGGTCGGGCAGATTTTTCCCGGTCAGTTGCCAATCTAATTAGGAAAAGCGCACGAGGGGCGATCAAGGTATCTTCGGCGGAAAGCATTTCTTTTTCTTTGTGCCCTTCATCCTAAAGGGCCCTTTGGAGCCGCTGTTCCTCTGCTATGCCTTTACTAACCCGGCGGGCAAGGAGGGCTGATTGGGACGGAAGACAGCGGAAATCTAGCTGCACGAGGCGCTGCTCTTCATTGCAACACCGGAATGAGGAGAGCTGGCGATAGTACTTTTGCTTGGGGGGGTGGGAATGCAATATAAGCGAAAGAAAGCAAAAAAAGCAAAAAGAAGGCAGATCCTCACGTGCATCCATACCTGCCTCTGTCTTGACGAACCTTCCCAACGCGTGAGAAAAGCCTCGTTCTCCCCGCAGTCCGAAACGGCGTCCGCCCTGCAGGCAAGATTTGAACCAAGCGCCGCCCCTTCCGCCTCTCCTTTCCGTCAGCCAGGCTTCCTTCCCTTAAACGGGTAAGACCCGTATCTTTTGCTTGTAAGGATGGCATGGGGTGGGGAATTCCCTTCCCGGAAATACTTCGCTGGAAAAATCAAACGTTTTCTATTGCCCTGCACGGCCTCTCCACGTGGACAGATGAGATAGATAGGTGAAGGTTTATTTTTATTTTGCTAGATTTCTGTTCTGCTTTTGTTTTTGTTTTTTGGCTTACTCTTCCTGGTGGCTCTTTTTATTCCTGCCCCCCCAACTACAACAGCGAAGGACTAAAGGATAATATCATAGTTAAAAACCCTTAAATTAAGTTTCCGCTTAAATTCATTAACACTTGTATTAAATTTGTTAGATTATCAAGGAGCCCAATTTAGAAAGATAGCCAAAGGACTGACAAAAAAGCTTAGACATTATTCTAGCAACTCCCCAGCTCAGAATCTCTGGAAAATGAAATATCTAAAAAATAGAAGGTGAAAATTATGGTTTCATTCCATGTCACATTGCTCTTCGCATTCGTATTCATTCTTTTAATTCATATTATTGTACTCTCCTTTATTGTTATACTGTTTTGCAATTATGTTAACATTTTTTATTATTTTTTCTGCTTTACTCCTATAAGACACAAGATGGGCAGTAAATACATTTATCAAATACATAAATAAATTTAACAAATTCATCGACCCAGAATTAGTGAAAGCATCCAAGATGGCAGTTTAGATAGTACTCAACTTACGACTGGTCATTTAGCAACTGTTCGAAGTTATGATGAACCCCCCCAAAAGCTACTTACTACCTGATTTCAATTTATAATGTTCTTTCCTCCCCCTACAGTCACATGACCATATTTTGGCTTCTCAACAACCAGCCTTCATTCCAAATACAGCACCTGGGGCATGTAATTACAATGTATGAAGGTTTTGCTGGAAAATGGCATTTACTTCCTGTTGCTGGCAAAACCCACCCTATAGCGAAAAATGGATTTGCTTAATGAGTATTATGTTTCTTTAAAATCACTGCAAAAAGATTGTAAAATTGAGTTTGGTCATGTGATAACCCCTTTTATGACCATCATGACTTGTGACTGCAGTTGCCAAGTTCAATTACGGTCATAACTCAAGGATTACTTGTTCAACACAACACATCCGAACTAGTCAAATAGAATCAGATCGAAATGTCTAGAACAACATCTTCAAAGGAATAAAATTCACAATGGAAGACGAAAATAACCCGCTACCTTTCCTAACTTCCTCATTAGCAGAGGAAATAATGGCAAATTAGAAACGCAAGTCTAATGAGAAATATCCCACATTAAACAAGTGTTCTGCTACCAATGAGGAGCTGTGTAAGAATATTATTCAAATCACAAACACACTGCAGCAAAATGGATATTCACCCAACTTTATCAAAAAGTATCTGACCACTATAGCACAACCAATGCAAACTATGAAAAGGATAATACTGCCATTTTTTTAATTTAACAAATTTGTATAGCCCCCCAAATTCAAATACAATGACTCCAAAACATCAAAAACATGTCAAGAAACAAATAACAGACTATTACAACCATATAGTTTCATCATAGCACACAACTAAAGCCATTCAAAACATCTTAAGTAAAATGTACAACCCAGTAGCCCAAGAATAAAAAATAGCCATCTACAACACACAATGTGAGGATTGTAACAGCCACTGTTTTTATTTATTACATTTATTAAATTTATATGCCATTTAGGAGAGACAGGCAGAAAACTAATAGAGTGCTCTTAGTTTGTGATTAGAATGTGCTAATAGAGCACATTCATTAACACCAACTAGCAATCAGAAGGCACAGTGAAAACTGCTTAATCTCACAACACAAAAGACCAGAACACATCCCCTCCTGCAGTGAACAACTACGGTGTTTTCCCGAAAGTAAGACTTTGGTCACTCAACAGTGAGAAACTGGTGAAGTGGGCACAGCAATGCCTGCATTTTCTGCGTCGCAAGAGAAAAGCACATCTTCCGTCCCCTGTCCTGAACACTTTCTACAGGGGGACGATTGAGAGCATCACAGTCTGGTTTGGAGGCATCACTGCTTCAGACAGGAAGGCGGTGCAGAGAGTGGTGAGGATGGCCGAAAAGATCATTGGCAGTTCCCTCCCTCCCATCCAGGACATAGCACAGAAGCGCTGCTTGAGCAGGGTCCCTAAGATCACCTGGGACACAACACATCCTCTTCATGACCTGTTTTCCTTGTTACCTTCTGGGACGGGGCTCTGTGGTATCCGAAGCAGAACATCCAGATTCAGCCACAGTTTCATTCCATACAGCATTAAGCTTGTGAAATCTCAAGCTTTATATTCAAGATGGACAGTATTTAATATTTATTTGTTATGTACATGTAGGGGTATGGACCTATACATATGTTGTATATAGTATGTTTAGGTGTGTCATGTATGTGTTTCATTTTGAGAGCAACTCAATTTCATTTTTGATGTGTGCCGTTGTGCCCACAGTAAAAAAAAAATGACAATAAAGATTATTTTATCTTACCCAAAAAATAAGCCCTAGCTTGATTTTTTTTTTGGGGGGGTGGGCCTAATATAAGCCCTACCCAAAAATAAGACCTAGTTTTGGGGTGCACATGCCTAAAAATCAAGCTAGGGGGAGTGGGGGAGTAGAGCTACCCCATGTGCCCTGCACCCACTTACCATTGCAGCCAGGCCTCCCATGAATCGACACCTGCCTCACCGGCCCACTTCTGTGGCCGTTCACTGCCGCTTGTGCACGTCACCCCTGGCCTCCATTTCGCCATCAGAGGCCTTCCGGAAAGGCTTCTGCAGCCAAGAACTGAGATACAGATTGAATCCGTAGCTTGGCTCTAGGCAGCAGAGGTCTTTCCGGAAACCTCTGACAGCGAAATACAGACTGGGGGGGGGGAGTGCTAGGTTCGTCAATCCAGAGCTCCATTCTCAATTGCAGAGGCATTTCCTGAAGGCCTCTGATGGCGAATGAAGGTCAGGGGCAGCGCACGCAAGCAGCAACGAGTAACTGCAGAAGAAGTCGGCCTGCAGCCAGGGCTGTCAGTGCTGCTGCTGCAAGGTGAGACCATGAAAAAGACACCCCCGAAAATAAGACTGGTGCCTCTTTTGGAGGCAAAGAAAAAAAGAAAGACTGGGTCTTATTTTCAGGGAAACATGGTAGATAAGCAGGGATTAATATCAGACAAACAAGTCAAGTAGAAAACAGTATTCTAATCTTTATCTCAATCTTCCTTTCAAAAAAGAAGGAAATAGCCAGGATTTTTCAAAATACATTATTATTTGGTGCTCCGTATTCTTGAAACATCTAAGACAACTTCAGCATGCTGGCTGGGGAATTCTGGGAGCTGAAGTCCACACATCTTAAAATTACCAAGTTTGAGAAACATTCAGTTAAGGGCTCTTGAATAGTCATCTTCAATTTTCAATGTCTCCAAAGTCATTGATCTTCTGCTCCCAGAATTCCTGCCTGCCCTTCCTTTGGAGAATTCTGGGAATTGAAGTTCAAAGATCTTACAGGACACCAGACTGGGTGTGGCTGTTCTGGAACACTGCATCTGTTCTGGAGAGTTCTATGGAAGCAGAATGCCCCACCAGGGCCCCCATTGTCTGGTCTGGAGATGTCATGTTCTGGAATAAGGAACGCAGCCGAGAATGGGTTGTGAAAACCTGTCTGTGGCCTTAGCAATTGTTCTGCTTCTTGAGCCTTGCCTTTCTCTGGCTTGCTTGCAGTGTGACCCCAATTTTGCTAGCCACTTTTCCTCTTATGCCCCAAACTTGAGTCGCAAGTCTTGGGGGCTCGGGGTCGTGCCAGCGGCAGGACGAAGGCTGCGGGGCTGGGTTCAAGATACTCTTCAAGGACTGAACCTCAAGATTTCCCCCGACATCCGTGAGTTGTCTCCCAGGCAAGGCCGGCCCATATATCCATTTCTTCTGGGCTTCAAGCAAAGCTTAGTCTGAGATTCTCCAAACCAACCTATAACTAGGGTTGTCAACTCATTTTGGCTGGTAGAACCAGGTTAAAAGAAGGGATGACTATAGACCATCCCCTTTTTTTATGAGTCACTGGATCTCTCCAATATAGTAGCCAAGTCCAGTTGGATTTCTGCTTGTTGCAAGATACTTAAGATGTAACAAACCAGCTTAATACATGGGAATGGGGTGTTCTAAGCTAGCAATCTCCAATTTTTCCTTCTTTGTGGAACAGCGGGAGGGGAGAGGGTATGGTTCTGTGTGAGCAGCTGGCAAGTGTGTGCTCACACACCATCTCCGTGTGCCAGTGGAGCTGCATGTGCGCTCACCCGCCACTTCCTAGACCCAGTTCTGAACGGGCCATCGGCCAGTAGTGGGCTGTGGTCCAGGGGTTGGGGACCCCTGTTCTAAGCACTGTTCTAAGCACAGTTCAAGGTCTAGGGCAGTGGTGGCGAACCTATGGCATGGGTGCTAGAGGCAGCACTCTGTGGGCACATGTGCCGTTGCCCCGGCCTTGCCTCCCCCGCAACCCCCTCTTCTCTAGCAGCCCCCCTGAAGGAGAGTCGCCCTTGAGCATGGCCCACGCGGAGCAGCGCAGCCAAGGACATGGCAGCCAGGCAGCATAGACAAGACTCTGCCCTCACACCCCATCATGCAGTTGATGCTGCAGGGTGCGGGCAGAAGGTGTGGCCACCATAGCGCTGCTGGGCTGCCTGGGGCCGTGGAGGTGGTGAGTGGTCCTGTGGGCAGATGGGGCGGGGCAGCGGGTGGAGTGGGGGCGGGGCCAGGTTTTGGGCACTTGGTCTCTAAAAGGTTCGCCATCACTGGTCTAGGGCTATTTCCCAATCTGGAGCATATTGCTGCCTGTTGAAATAGTCAGTATTCTGCCTCTGTAAAACAGAAGGCTCTTTAACAGAATAATAGTTCAGCTTGTGGAACTGATTGCCATAAGAATTAATCTTCAGAATTGGAAGACAATGAATGTTTCAAGACAATAATTAGCATACTGCCACTTTCATCAAGCATTGAGTGACTTCAGATATTCCCCCAACAAACTCTAGATGGAGATGGGTTGGTTCACAATTCTCTTGCTTTCTCTCCTTCCCCCACCCCAACCATCTGTCTCCAGCTAAGGAGAAGTTGCACACCATAGCTACCACGGTGTATGGAAAACTCGACATGTTGTTCAAAAACCACACCTACAAACCTGGTAAATATACAGGGGCAGATTACTACAGTTCATAATCATTTTCTTGCCTCCGTAGTGAACTACCTTTGCTATATTTAATCATCAGGTAGATGCAAATGCTTTTACCTGGTTTGGTATGAAATTTACTTAACTCACCTTTCAACTTGCCTGCTCTCTCCTTCTGTCTGTGTGTATTAACTTTAAGCGATTTTCCTCTTGTCTTCTTTGGTTTGCAAGACACACAGAACTACCAGCTGGCATCCTGCTTAAATGCAAATCATGACTGATGAGTAAACGTAAGGAGTGTTGAGTCAATATTGATTCCTGGTCACTGCCTTAACCAATCCCTGCAGTTTTCTTGGCAGGATTTCAGAATTAGTTGCACTGACTACTTCCTAGGACGGAGAGAGTGACTGGCCCAAGGTCACCCAGCTGAATGTCTGTGGAGATTCTCAGTCATCCAGCTCACGGTTGTCCCAAAGGTGCTTTTCCCAAGAGGCAACTAGACTTTCTTTGTTTTTCCCTGAAGACATTTTGCTTTTCATCCAAGAAACCCCTTCAGTTCTGACTGAATGGGGGAGAATGGTTTTATATTCCTTGGAGTCATAATAATAATAATAATAATAATAATAATAATAATAATAAAGTTGGAAGGGACTTTGGAGGCCATCTAGTCCAACCCCCTGCTCAGGCAGGAAACCCTACACCATTTCGGACAAATGGCTGTCCAGTCTCTTCTTAAAAACTTCCAGTGTTGGAGCATTTACTGCTTCTGGAGGCAGATGGTTCCACTGATTAATTGTTCTCACTGTCAGGAAGTTTCTCCGTAGTTCTAGGTTGCTTGTCTCCTTGATTAGTTTCCACCCGTTGCTTCTTGTCCTGCCTTCAGGTGCTTTGGAGGATAGCTTGACTCCCTCTTCTTTGTGGCAGCCCCTGAGAGAAGGTCATTAGCCCTCTCTCTCAGAGTCATTGGAGGCTACCCAGTTGACTTTGTGCCTAAGGCAGGATTAGTCTCCTGGTTTCTGGCCTAGAAATCCAAATTAACCACAATATTAAATTCAAATAGTAAAAAATCCTGACATTCTGAAGGCATGCTGTCTGAGTGTGTAAAGAGATTTGGATTTTTTTTCCCCCTACCCTGCACAGTAATTGAATCATCATGCTACAATTTCCAGGGTCAGAACAGAAATGACAGAGGAACAGTAATGTTTAAAAAAGAGAATAGATGGAGAAATTCTATAGGTACAGCACTGTGTTAAGTCAAAACAACCAAAGCATATTATGGCTCAGTATGGAGTGTAATCTCGGCCATTATCTCCCTAAATCAAGGGGATTTTGTAAATCCGGTTGCTCAACTCTCCAAATTGTGGGAGAGCTGAGAATCCTATGATCCGGATATATTCTGCATATTTACTAAATACTTTTAAATTTCAGCAGAGCTGTTACCAAACATTCATGCATTGGAATGCTTTGTCATCAGCAACTGAGTTGTGTCCAGCCCTTGCCATTCTATGGATCAGCACTTCCTCTCAGGCCATGTGGGGGGGGGGCTGGATGGTGGTGCGGGCTGCCCGGAGCCCTGGGCAGTAGAGGTCAAATGCCCAGCCTGGCCCTCAAGCACCCGTGGCACCAATCCCAGCCCCACTTCCCCAAGGGGGCACCTAGCTGCACTTACCTCCTCCTCAAGGCTGCTGCTGCTGTGCTTGCTCTCCTTAGCCAGGTTGCTCATGATGGGTACGAGGGCAAAGTCAGAGGGAGGCCCATTCCCTCTCCATGGGAGGAGACCCGGCTTTGTATCCAAAGCTTCCTTAGCAATAGGAAGGAGGATATCCCCAGGATAGGCCAGGAGGAGGGGGCAAGGGGATGGTGAAAGGGCAGCAGGGCAGGACTAAAGTAGGACTTCCCTCAGACCCCTCCTCTCCCCTCCTTTCCTTCTTTCCTTCCTTCTTTCCTTCCTTCTTTCCTAAGTACAGAGTGGTGGGAAAATATTTGAGATGAGGGAGGAAGAAAAACAGGCAAGAAACGCAGCTGGGGAGGTGTCACCCTTCGTGAGGAATGAAGAAATGCACCATCGCCTGGAAGTGGCCAGCGCGATGGTGCATTTCTTCATTTCTCACAAAGGTGACACCTCCCCAGCAGGGACCCAGAGGGCGGGGCCACGTGGCCGTCGCTGTTTCCAGATGGCCTCGTGGAGCTAAGACTGAATGCGTTTCAGCATAGATGGCCACCATAAAATTGTACATTGGCCCCCGGCCAGTCTGGGCCAGGGCCAAGGCAGCGGGGGCCGTTCCCTCACTGTTTCCAGGATGACTTCGTGGGCCACATTAAACCACTTCGCGGGCTGCATCTGGCCCCCGGGCCTTGTGTTTGACATTTCTGCTCTATGGTCATCCTGGTTTCATCCTTTATAGCAGAGGTCACCAACCTTTGGGGCACCAGGGACCGGTTCTGTGGAGAGAGGTTTTTCTGTGGACCGGAGGGGGTGTGGTTTTGTGTGCTGCCTGTATCCCACAGATGGTGCTTTGCTTGCTTGTGTGGACCAGTTGCTGGCATGCCGCGGCCCGGTACTGATCCACGGACCAGGGGTTGGGGACCCCTGCTTTAGTGTTCAGCCAGTGGGTACTAGGGCAGCCCCTTTGTCTTTTTCCACTGATCACTCCCAACCTGATGGGCTTTTCCAGTGAGTCAGTTCGCATGACACATTATGATAACTTTTGTTTGGTGATTTTGAGTTCAAGTGATATTTTTGGTGAGGTTTGGCCTAGGACTTTATTGCAGCCTATGGGATGGGTAATGAGCGTCTCCAGCACCACAGTGCAAAGGCGTACACACTTCTCCTATCTGTCTTCTTCCTAGTCCAGGTTTCGCAGCCATAAATATCAATGGAAAGAAATTATTGTGTTGACTAATCTGCATTTGGTTGGAAAGCAGATATTTTGACAATAATACTAGTTAGTTGTTTTGGTTGTGTGTTCGCATATTTTTGACCTGTTGGATGTTTTGGTTTCCCAGGTGATCTTCCAAAAAACCTGGACTCTATTTTTGAAGAACAAATCAAAATGCTACAGGACGCCATCATTGATAGTGAGCTTTCCTTGATCTGTTCTGAATTAATTTGATAGCTGATGAGAATGTCTCTTCTAAGGCAATGCCTGCTTTAATATGAAGTATGAAGCAGAGATGCCTCTTCTAAAACAGAGCATCCTCTAATGCCGGGTCGGTGGAATCGCCCAAGATGGGTTGCTGACCTGCCCCTTCTAAGATGGCACCTGGTGGGTATCTTCCTTTAATAGAACAACTGGCTATAATTCTTCAAAAATGAAATCCTCTTTTGATGTGGCAGTTGGCAAGAATGCTTCTTCCAAGGTAAAACTTATTGAAGATAATTCAGATAAATGCAATTGAAAATAATGGACCTTCTGCCTATTGAGCGGCTCCTTGGTTACCCATCCAAAAACTTTAAAAATTGCAGTGGGATTTACTTCTGCGTAGATCTGCAAAGGAGTACACAATGAATGAATAGAATGCCTCAGCTTGGTTAACTATTTAAATCCTTTTCTCCTCTCCCTTAGGCAGAATCAAGTGTGAAAACCACTGTGGTAAGTGGGGGAAGAGAGCTATTTTTTAAAACAACTGAGAGATTCTGCACATGTATCATGATAATAATAATAGTAGTAGTAGTAGTAGTAGTAGTAGTAGTAGTAGTAGTAATAGTAATAAAGTTGGAAGGGACCTTGGAGGTCATCTAGTCCAACTCCCTGCTCAGGCAGGAAACCCTATACCGTTTCGGACAAATGGCTGTCCAGTCTCTTCTTAAAAACTTCCAGTGTTGGAGCATTCATAGCTTCTGGAGGCAAGTTGTTCCACTGGTTAATTATTCTAACTGTCAGGAGGTTTCTCCTTAGTTCTAGGTTGGTTCTCTCCTTGATTAGTTTCCATCCATTGCTTCTTGTCCTGCCTTCAGGGGGCTTTGGAAAATAGCTTGACTCCCTCTTCTTTGGGGCAGCCCCTGAGATATTGGAACACTGCTCTCATGTCCCCCCATGTATGATAGTTTCATACATGGTCTCCTCAGAACCATGATGTCTCTGAATGTTCCAGTGGCACCTTCCTTGCAGTGATTCAGAAGACATGAATGAAGACAAATATATGTGTCCCAGGATAATGTTGCAGGATCCAGTCTGGGTTGATCACTGGACCAGAGGTTTAGTCTTCTGAGATTTCGGACTCTTGCTGGAACCCACCCTCAGGGAACTTTTCTCTCACTTGGTTGTCTTGTTCAGAAGACAACCAAGACTGGTGTTCGGTGGGGGAGTTACACAGGATTTTTCTCTCACCGGGATTTAATATTGATTTTTGTGGATTTTTGCCGTGAGTCTGTTGCAGTCAGTGGTCTATAAGTCTGATCAATGAGCAGGAAAGCCAGGGTTTGATAACTTGCAGTTGCTTTGGTTCAAGGGAGAGCGTCTCACCTACCAACTCAGCTACAGAACTGAGGGATCTGAAGGCAAAAATGTTTGTTGGTGTGTCCAGCTATGAGGGATACCTGTAGGATTTGGTCAAAACAGTAACGATGGCACAAATGATGCACCTAAAAAACAAGTCCTTTTGATCACAGAGTTGTGGTCACCACCTTGGCTTTTTGGCTACATTCTGTGGACACTCCTGGTAGGGATGTGTGTCTGGTGCTCATCCCTAGGTCCTTAAACCAAATGGGTCTTTTCTTGGGATTCTGTTTCAGTAAAGAGCTATGCCGATGCAGTTGTTTTAAGGAGTTCCGGAAAGGAGTTCCAGGTCCATGCCTTCTAACGCATCTTCCGCTCATGAACCCAGCCCATTGCACTGCCTTCATAGCTCTCTCTTCCATCCGAAGGAGATGAGCATTTATGAAATACAAAAAACAAACACACACACAAACAAACAGCTCTCCAAGATTCCAGAAAGGCTCTGTTTCCCAGCTCTGTAACATTTTTGGTGTGCAGAACATTTATTCTTTTATTGAGCGTAGTGTATGTGTGTGTATGTGCATGTGTATATTTGATATAAAATATTACACCTTTTCTTTGGTCATCCATTAATTTGCCCTGTTTCTTCTTTTTACAGGCATAAACCACTATGAAGCTATCTCCTGTGAGACATGCAACGCAACCAAACCAACTTGCTTTGGCTATAGCTGCGAGTATGTATCATTTCTTTCTTTCTTTCTTTCTTTCTTTCTTTCTTTCTTTCTTTCTTTCTTTCTTTCTTTCTTTCTTTCTCTCTCTCTCTCTCTCTCTCTCTCTCTCTCTCTCTCTCCCTCCCTCCCTCCCTCCCTCCCTCCCTCCTTCCTTCCTATTATTGAGACGTTTGAACTTTGGAGCTGGAAAAAATAGCTCTTATAATTTCACAAACCATATACAGTGAGAAAAATGGCATATGTGGACCAACACATTGTATATTTTGTGTAATCTGTTCTATTTTGGCCAAAGGTTTAGCATGGCATGTACCAGTTCTGTCAAGTCTCACCCAGCTAGGCAAGATCAAGAAAACAAGAATTATCGTTTCTTGTCACTTGGGCTAAGTGACAAGTAAAATAATCCTGCAACTCTCTCACCTTTTATTTCTTGATTATTTAGTCCAGTGTTTTTCAAACTCAGCAACTTTAAGGTGTATGGAGTTCAACTTCCAGGATTCTGGGAGTTGAGGTCCACATATCTTAAAGTTGCCAGGGTTAAAAAACACTGATTTAGATCCAGTCCCTCTTTAATTACTTTCCCTGTCTTCCCGCAGTCTCCATGCTATTAAGATAAACATTCCAAAGGCATCATCTTACTGATTCATGATTAGGTTTCCAGCTTTCTTGATGCAATGGTGATATCCCCAAACCTCAGAAGAGGGAAAGTCCTCCTAAGGCAGCTTTTGGGCAATTGTGCAGCTCAACAAACCAAGGATGAAATTGTCTACAAATGAGGTAGACTGGAAGGAAACTATTGAAGATAACCGTGAAATTGTTTGAAAACATACAAACAAACAGTTTGGGGGACGACTCAAATGACTATTTCTCAGATCCACAAACATCGTCTACTTGACTTTGAAGGCAGACAGGACTGGGGGAGATATAGTTTAATGTCACTAATTGCCACTCTTTCCTTCGACAGGCTGAATAATTACTAACATTGCCCTTTCTTGTAACTCCCTCAGGCATTAATCTCCCCCTTGAAGGATTGTCTTTTCCCAGTTATATCTACCTGACCCACCAGAGCAGGGAGGCAGGGCCTGTTACAGGTCCCCTCTCTTAAAAAGGTCCATCTAGTGCAGGGGTAGGCAACCTTGGCTCTTTTATTACTCGTGGACTTCAACTCCCAGAATTCCTGAGCCAGCATGGCTCAGCTTGGAAACCTCTCCCTTTCCCCTCAGCATGGCTGGCTCAGGAATTCTGGGAGTTGAAGTCCATGAATCATAAAAGAGCCAAGGTTGCCTACCCCTGCACTAGTGGAACCAAGAAAAAGGGCCTTCTCCATGGTGCCTCCCTCCCTGTGGAACATCATTCCTGGAGAAATAAAATGGGCCCCACTTTGACAATCTTTCAATTAAGTGGTTAATTTAAGATTAGGATTTGATATGTCCTTGTGATGTTTTGCACAACTTCTCACTTACATGTCTGTGTTTTGTATTCCTTTTCTGCAGATCCTCAAAAAAATGGAAAGATGCCTTGAATGACCTCTATGAATATGTGTAAGTCTCAAGGCGTTGTACTATGTTCTGGTCACAAAATAAAATCTTGAAGGTTGAAGGCCCAAAAGAACCTAGAGCAGCCATGGCCAAAAGAAAGGATAGAAATGGCCCATCCAGGTGAGACCATAAGATCTGGCAGCATCTCTTTGGATTGTCTGCAGTATTTCAAGGTCTCAAGTGTCACCTGCAAAATGATCTTTTTGACTAGAGATATCAAGGATTGAATTCCTTCTATTTCCTTTTGATTCATTTATTAATGATTATGCTTTTATCCCACCTTTATTTTGGGAGCGCCAAGCCTCATAGGAAGTGGGTTGAGATGAGTAATCGCCACATAACTCTCCAAGATACTAGTTTAGCCAACCAGATTTAGTTAGGGAGGTTATTCAGATCTCCCCATTGGTTGGGTGCGCTCAGAGAACTGTTGACTAAATCATGTTTTAGCAAACCTTAGAGTCGCCTGTAGTGCAAAAACTATGATTTGTCAAAATCATGCAGTGATGTCTATGGATCAGCCAAATACACAAGCTGGTTTTTGATTTTTGAATGAGAGAAGGGGGCACATGGTGAGAGTCAGCTTGATATGTAGTAGTTAGGATGCTGGCCTACAAGCCAAGAGATTGTTACCTCTAATCTTCTCATAGCATGAACTAGATGTATGACTTCAGGCAAATCTAAGTATAATAAATTAAAAATTAAAAATGATATTGCACATGGGGCCAGGATTCAGTATTCTATCTTTTATTTATATATATGTATGTATGTATGTATGTAGGTCTTTGGTTATTCGGGTTTTCTCCCGCATAAAATTGGAAGTGTCTTGGCGTCACCAAGACACTTCCAATTTTACACGGGAGAAAACCCGAATAACCAAAGACCTACATACAAACACCCGCGAAAACCTCAGAAAACAAATACACACACACACACACACACACACACACACACACACACACATCTTTATTGTTTTATATATATATTGTTTTATTAAAAAGAGCATCAAAAAAGAAAAAAAATGGTGTACAAGAAAGGAAGAAAAATGACCCAAATATCAAATGAATTTAACATTAAACATATAGAATCCACCCTGGCTGATGCTGAAAAGAAAGAAAGAAAGAAAAATAAAAAATGAAAAATTCTCTTCCTCTTTACATAATGGGTTTATAACTAGTTATACGCATTGGGCTTCTTTTAATTTTAAATGTATTTAACCTGCTTTAGAGCATACATAACGTTTCTTGTACTTTTCCTGCCTCAGAATGGAATACATTGTAAGAACAATGTACTGTGTGTATTACATTTCTCAAAACTGGAATGGAAGCAATAGATGACATTTATTTAAATAATATAATGATCTATTGCATTTGTGAGCCAGTTTTTTCCCGTGTGTGGTGTGCTGATTTAGTTATCACCACAAGACCTAGGCTAGTCATGAGGATTGTCTCCCTGATTTTAGTGGGTACTTCTCAAGGGTCCCATAGAAAGCAACCATAATATATTTAAAATGCAGCACAAAAAAATAGAGAAGCTAATAATTAACTCTCAATTTCTACACATGCAGTTTGATTAAAGTTGTTTTGGGGTAGTTATGGGCCCTGTCTGGCAAGAATAATGATTCTTGTTTACTTGAAGAAGTGCATATACACGTACATGTATTTAATTCTAAGCGAGAAACAAAGAACTGATAGCACACATAGCCATGTAGGTAGATCAGATTTTGCACCAACCATTCTGTACAAATTTAGCCATTTTTCATTGTTCAAGCAGTTAGAAACAGGATGCAGTAACATTTCTCAGTTATATGCTTTTTTTCTTTTCTTTTTTTCAGGAAGAATTTGAACACGTAAGTTGGGAATTATCTGCCAATGAGTATAGCCCTTTAATTAAATGGAGAACTTGATTTTATCCAGATTTATTTGGCAAACATCTGCAAAACACATTGTTGCTGAAGATTCCTCTTTAGAAAATTTAGGCAAGGCAGTGGAGGATGGGTGGAAGAGGTGTTTTGCAGTGGGAACTGGGTACTTGGCAATAAACCATCAATTAATTCTTTGTCAACTGCCTTGGCAGCTGGTTAACTGACTCAGCTTGGCTAGATTAGACTCCTTAATGCAGACAAGAACAAATCCTCAGACATAGAAACAATTGGACTCAGAGGCTTATATATATTCCCCCCCAAAAAAAGCTTAAACGGGCGTTTTGCAAACTTGGCAATTTTAAGATGTGCAGACTTCAATTCCCAGCTGCTTAACTGCCAACATCTTAATGTTGCCAAGTTTGAAAAACATTGGTTTAAACCAGAGGTCCCCAACCTTTTGGGCACCAGGGACCGGTGAAGTGGAGAAAGGTTTTTCCGTGGACCGGAGGGGTTGTGGTTTTGTGTGCTGCCTGCATCCTGTGGGTGGGATTTTGCTTGTTTGTATGGCCTGGTTGCTGGCATGCTGCGGACCGGTGCTGGTCCACAGACTGGGGGATTGGAGACCCCTGGTTTAAATGCTAGGTGCCTCTGAAATTAATGGATACTTGGATGTGTATAGAATCGAGAGAAAAGAAAGAAAGATACTCTTACCCTTGGAAGTAATCCTCCCCGATTAGGGTGATCTTCAGCGATAGCTTACTTGGGATTACTTAGATCTACTTGGGGCGTCTTTGGAAATTATTTGTAAGAGCACAAAATGTAGCTGCATGTTTGCAAATATCAGAGAGATATTGCACGAGAGATACAGTTCAAGGTGCTGGTAGTCCTTGACTTACAACCATAATTGGGATAAGAAATTCCGTTGCTAAGCAAGGGGGTTGTTAAGTAAGTTGCACCCAATTTTATGACCTGTTGTGCCACAGTTGTTAAGCAAATCACTGCAGTGGTTAAGTGAATCACCTGGTCATTAAGCAAATATGGCTTCCCTCATTGACTTTGCTTGCTGGAAGCTGGCTGGGAAAGTCCTAAATGGTGATCACACGAAGCTGCAACCGTCATAAATACCTGCCAGTTGCCAGTTTTGATCACATGACTATGGGGATGCTGCGATGGCCATAAATGCAAGGACCTGTTGTAAGTCACTTTTTTCATAGCCATAATTTTGAATGGTCGCTAAACAAATCATCGTAGGTTGAGGGCTTCCTGTAAAACATTTTCACTTTGGGTCCTCTGTTCATTTCCTTTGAACAGAATCTTTCCAGCCAGTTTACAGGTAGTCCTCAACTTAACGACAACAATTGAGCCCCAAATTTTTGTTGTTCAGTGAGACATTTGTTAAGTGAGTTTTGCCCCCTTTTTACGACCTTTCTTGCCACAGTCGTTAAGGGAGTCACCGCAGTTGATAAGTTAGTAACCCGGTTGTTAAGTGACTCTGGCTTCCCCATTGACTTTGCTTGTCAGAAGGTTGCAAAAGGTGGATCACATGACCCGGGGCCATATGAACCAGCTGCCGAGCGGCTGAATTTTGATCACGTGACCATGGGGATGTTGCAAAGGTTGGTCATAAGTCCCTTTTTTAATGCCGTCGGAACAATGAACTGTTGTAAGTCGAAGACTCCCTGTATTCAATTCCGGAAGATGTGATTGTGATTCAGCTTCCCCTGACAGTTTTCAGGAGAGGATTGTGAGGGAAACTTTTTCTTTGATTGTCTATGGACAGTCAAAGAAAAAGTGTGGACAATCTTTCTCTTTGAATGTTTCCCTGGCCCTCTGGAAATTGTCTTCCCCCCGAGCTAGGATGGCTAGGCCTCCCTTGCAGTCATGCAGGAAGCTGACGAAAGCTCCTATTTTCTATCAAGTCATAATGATCAAGACTGGAGGCGATGATTGTATTTAATATTTAATATGCTTCCGGTGGATTCGTTTGTTACTGATGGAAGAGAATAATTTGTAGCTCAGGGTTGAACTAGGGCAGTGGTTCTCAACCTTTTTAATGCCGCGACCCCCAACCAGTCGTAAGTCAAGGACTACTCAACTGGTCGTAAGTCGAGGACTACTCAACTGGTGCAGCACCGTTTGCAGAATGGGACTTTTGGCAGGCTCAGCAGGGCAGAGACAGCCTGGACAATTCCTATTGGCTTTTGAAAGCCAATAGAAGTAGACTCTATTCAAGAGAGTCTATTCTATTGGCTTGCAAAAGCCAATAGAATAAAAGGGAGTAGCACAGCTAAGGAAAAGGGGGAAAAAAATGGCGGACTGCGTTGTTTGGCGACCCCCGTGAAATGGTCATTCGACCCCAAAGGGGGTCCCGACCCACATGTTGAGAACCGCTGAACTAGGGGGTCCTTGGTGCTCTGAGTTTGGATATGTGTTTGTTCTTACAATTTACATTGTTTGATGTTTTCATGTTTTAATCACTCTGAGTTGCCCGGAATCTTTGATTGGGTGACATAGAAACAGGGTGAAATAAGCAACAGCCTCTTGTGACACCATCTGACGGTTGTATCCACAGGGAACCAGGGGAGTGGGCAGCGGCCCTAAGACAAGTCCCTGCCTTTAGGTAAGCTCTTGTTTGGAAGCCGTAAATGGGGTAAATGGAGAGCTTTGCTCTGCAAAATAGCAGTTGGTACGGACAGGGAAAATGGGAGGAAGAGAACTAAGCAGCCTGCACAGGGAATTCTGGGTGCAGGATGAGGTGTTGAATAAAGATTGCAAAAGCTACAAAACTAGACTGAGACCCCTTGAGGCAACACTGGAATGATTTTCACAATGCAATCTCCGTTTCTTTATGATCAACCCACCCAGGAAACAGCTTCCCCTACCTAAGGCCCTCCTTCTAAGTCTACATACCTTGTGCCTCTCCAAAAGACATTAGACTACAACTCCCAGCAGGGACACTGGAAGCTGTGGGTCAGCAAAGTCTGGAGGGCCCCAGCATACCCTCACCGGATACTTTTCTACAAAAATGTATTTGTGCTTCATGTGTCAAAAATGCTGATGGGCTGGTTCCTGGAGTGATATATATTTCGGCATATTAATTCAGTTCTCCCAAAGATGCTTTTCGAATGGCAACTGGACTTTCTTAATTTTTTTTTCTCTCCTTGAAAACATTTCTCTTCTCATCCAAGAAGCTTCTTCAGTTTTGACTGAAGTTCTGATTCAGTTCTGACTGAACCGAAAAGTTTTCAAGGAGAAGGGGGAAAAAAACCTAAGAAAGACCAGTTGCTTTTTGAAAAGCACCTTTGGGACAACCATGACTTGGATGATTGGGAACCTCCATAGACATTAGTTTAGTTCCTTAAAAAGGAGCATGCATCTTAACAGTTGCTAGATTGAGAAACACTGATCTAGGGCAGGGGTAGGCAGCCTTGGCTCTTTTATGACTCGTGGACTTCAACTCCCAGAATTCCTGAGCCAGCCATGCTGAGGGGAAAGGGAGAGGTTTCCAAGCTGAGCCATGCTGGCTCAGGAATTCTGGGAGTTGAAGTCTGCCAGTCATAAAAGAGCCAAGGTTGCCTACTCCTGATCTAGGGTGACCTCTTAAAGGTTTTTAAAATTAAAGGATTAGGGAAACTTACTCTTTCTTTACTTAACTCTTTTTTATAGGTAGTCCTCAACTTACAGCAACAATTGAGCCCAAAATTTCTGTTGCTAAATGAGACAGTTGTTAAGTGAATTTTGCCCCATTTTACTAACTTTCTTGCCATGGTGGTCAAGTGAATCACTGCAGTTCTGACGTTAGTAACATGTTTGTTAAGTGAATCCCGTTTCCCCACTGACTTTGCTTGTCAGAAGGTCACAAAAGTTGATCACATGACCCCAGGACATGGCAACCATCATAAATGACTTAGATGAGAGAATCAAATTTGCAGATGACACCAAACTGGCAGGAGTAGCTAACACCCCAGAAGACAAGCTCAGGATCCAAAAAGATCTTGATCAACTTGAACAATGGTCCCTATCCAACAAAATGAGTTTCAATGTGGAGAAAAGCAAAGTCTTACATTTAGGCAGGAAAAACCAAAGGAACAAATACAGATTGGGCAGGGCCTGGCTTAAAAACAGCAACTGTGAGAGGGACCTTGGAGTCCTAGTGAACGATCACTTGACTATGAGCCAGCAGTGTGCAGCAGCAACTAAAAAAGCTCATGCAATCCTGAGTTGTATAAACAGAGGCATAGAATCAAGATCACGCTAAGTAATATTACCGCTTTATAAAGCCCTAGTAAGACCATACCTGGTCGCCATATCATAAAAAAGATGTTGAGAGTTTGGAAAAAATTCAGAGAAGAGCAACTAAGATGATCAGGGGCCTGGAGACTAAAACATATGAAGAATGGCTACGGGACTTGGGTTTGGCTAGTCTAAAGAAAAGAATAGGAGTGATATGATAGCAGTATTCCAGTATCTGAGGGGCTGCCACAAGGAAGAGGGGGGCAGGTTGTTCACCAAAGCACCAGAGGGAAGGACGAGAAACAATAGTTGAAAACTGATCAAAGAGAGAAGCAACCTGGAATTAAGGAGAAACTTCCTGACAGTGAAGACAAGCATCCAGAAATCGTGGATGCTCCATCACTGGACATTCACCTGTCTGAGACGGTGTAGGTTCTCCTGCTTGAGCAGGGGGCTGGACTAGAAGATCTCCAAGGTCCCTTCCAGCTTGATTCTATTCTTCTATTCTAAATATGAGTCAGTTGCCAAACCTCTGAATTTTTTGTGACTGGGGATGCTGCAGTACTGTAGTTGTCAGTGTGAAAAGTGGTCACAAGTCACTTTTTTCAATGCCATTGTAACTTTGAATGGTCACTAAATGAACTGGTGTAAGTTGAGGACTACCTGGACAGATTTTAAAAAAACCCTAATTATGGAACCTGCTAAGCAAAAATGAGGTCAGTAAATAGTTGAATCATCTACAAGAAGCCAAACAAACCAAAACAATAACAACAACAAAAAAAAACAACCCCAATCACCCATGGCTTCAAAATAAGGGCTGAACTGGTATCTCTAATGACTAAAATTATTTCTCATTGTTATGTTTCTCTGTTTGCCTTTCAGTCATTGTACTGCCAAAAGGTAAGGAGTGATAGCAAGGAAGAATGTCTAGGGTTAAATGGGATTGGGTTTGTTTTTTAGTTCACGCATTATTCAAGTGACTAGCTGAAATAAAAACAAAATCTAATTGTAGGTTACTCAAGCAAGTAAGCCAAACTGTATAGCATTCATTCATTCATTCATTTTCTGTAGCTGCCAATTTCAGACAACTAACTCTTTGGTATGTGGTGTCCTTAGTACTCTCTGAGCTTGGTGGTTTCCTTGCAGGCCAAATTAGGTAACGTCATCAATGCCAGCAGTGCTCTTTGATATGGCTGGCTCAGGAATTCTGGGAGTTGAAGTCCACGAGTCATAAAAGAGCCAAGGTTGCCTACTCCTGGTATAGGCTCTCCTGCTTGAGCAGGGGTTTGGACTGGAAGGGTTCCAAAGTCCCTCCCAACTCTGTTATTTTGTTACCCCAAAGTTTGCCCATTCCTAATGCAGTCCTGGTATCTGATGGCCAAAAATCAGGCAGAATCAAGTACAGCTATTCATACACTTATAACTGGAAATGAGCCCACAGTTTTGGTTGTAAATTGTGACAGTCCTAAAGTAGGTCACTACGTGATTGTGCCCAATTTTGCAGCAGTCTTTAAACAAATACTGCAGTTGTTAAATAAACCCATTGATTGGGCACTTTTTGCCAGAAACTAGAAGTAAATCCTGATTTCTGGCAAAAATGTCATAAATCAGGGGCACAGGATGCTGCAAACAGCTGTAAACGCAGACTGGTTGCTGAGTGGCCAAAAAAGTGACCAGGTGATCATGGGGGGGGGGGAGAGCAGACATCGGAACTTCAAATCATAGTCATAGTAGCTTTTTCAGGATCCATCAGAACTTTAAATGGTTGTTAAAGTGATTGGTCTTAACTGAGGAGTATCTGTGCAAATCCCAAACTGGATTTAAACTTAATCTGAGCATATCCAATAAAGGAGAATATCTATAGCTCAGGTTGAACTGTGGGGTCCTTGGTGCTCGCTGAGCTTTATTGTTTTCTTGTAGATCAGTGGTTCTCAACCATTTGGGGTCGAACGACCATTTCACGGGGGTCACCAAACAACGCAGTCCGCCATTTTTCCCCCCTTTTCCTTAGCTGTGCTACTCCCTTTTATTATTGGCTTTTGCAAGCCAATAGAATAGACTCTCTTGAATAGAGTCTACTTCTATTGGCTTTCAAAAGCCAATAGGAATTGTCCAGGCTGTCTCTGCCCTGCTGAGCCCGCCAAAAGTCCCATTCTGCAAACGGTGCTGCACCAGTTGAGTAGTCCTCGACTTATGACCGGTTGGGGGTCGCGGCATTAAAAAGGTTGAGAACCACTGTTGTAGATGCTTCATTACCCAAACTAGGTAAGTGCCAGCACAGTGAAACGTTTGAAAGGAAACAATTACGCTCAGAGAGCACCAAGGACCCATAATCTGAACGTAAATTAAGGAATCATTCACCCAATCATATTAATACAATTTCTCCTTACAGCTTTAGTAATTGTCCTGTTTTGTCACGTGAAATATTACAGTTGAGTGACAACTTTGGGAAGGCTCTGGCAGTCACACCCAAAGATTTGGAAAAGGCAGAATTGCTGTTTTTGCACACATTGGCTTCAGCGTTTCAAGTTGGAGAGATTTTTTTTTCTTTTTCCGAAATGCATGGGATTGAATCTCCCACCACAGAGAACAGCACAACTCATAGTGACTGCACAGCACTTAGTACTATTTAGCTAGCTACATTTCAGCCTAATTGTGGGCTGTGCATATTGCCTTAATGTGATACGTTTATGATTTGGTGCGTCACATGTACCCAGAAAATTCTAGCCATGTACACACAGAAGAAATTCAAGAGGCCTTTTTGTTAAGCCCGGATATAACAAAGTCCTTCAGCAAAGGCTCTTTGTAAATGTAACGATTTTAGATCAAGGGGTAGACATTTTTTCCCAATTACTTGTCTACGACAACAGGAAATTCCAGAATAAATGGATAAGTTTTCTGATTGGAGAGACATAAAAACTGGGGATCAGAGCCGCTTTTCAATTTGTTGATGAACCATTTGGAGTTAAGAGGAGGTTAAAAGGAGAAAAAGTTTGCTGATGGTCCCAAGCTGTTCAGGTTAAAAACAACAACAACAGTGAAGGAGTTGCAGAGAGAACCACAAAGATACATCTACACTGGTTGACTGGAGCTCTGTACGGGACAGTGAGGTAGCTGGTTGCTCTGGAAACATTGCAAATGTCTTACAAACTGTACTTAGATATTTCAGCATCATTTAAATCAATAGCCAACTAAAGACTGTGATCTAGGCTGGGGAATTCTGGGAGTTGAAGTCCACACATCTTCAAGCTGCCAAGGTTGAAAAACATTGTTTTAGGACACTTTTTCCTCATTGCTGAGGGCAAACAAGGACCGCTGTTAAGGATGTCTGCAGGATTTGGTCCAAAAAGTCAAGAAGACAGTGGTGCGATCAAGGTTCTGTCCATTATGTGCAATCACACCATCTTCTTTGACCATAACCCTGTGGACACTCCCTGTAGGACAACATCTTCCCATTTTTGCTTTTGCGATATTCAGTGAATAGGATTCTGCTGCAGGTGGTGTTTGGTTCAGAAAATATTCTTCTTTGATGTTTGTATTTACCCTTCTCCAGACTTTCTTTAATACATTATTAACTTTCATTTTCTCCTATCTATAGCCCAGAGACACTGAATTTTACAAGTAAGTTTCAAGAGCATGAAGACTTAATTCCTACAAAGAATGGGTTTCAGAGGTCCAGAAATTTTTGTAATTTGTAATTGTTTAACATGCTGTGTGCCAGTTTAGTTTTCCCTACAAATGGGGGCAGGGGGGAATTCTTCAACCCCTCCCCCAACCTAAAACTAACTCCAATGCGATAGTTTTTCATCAACTTATAGACATTTGAGATCACACCCTGCTAAATTATGATTTGATTAACTGTGGTCTGAGTAAAACGCAATAGTTGAGTTTACAAATTCACTGATCCAAAACAGATTGCTGCAGATGGAATGTGTGCCTTTATCAATGCCTGATCTAATTTTACGTTTAAAGAACTTTAGCGAGGCAGTTTTTGGGAAAGCTGTTTCAGATTGCTGATTCTTAAGTAAGCAGGGTTATGTTATTTTAGGCAACGCTATTGCTAATTTACTATACATTACTTTACTTGATTACTTTCATTTGACTGGTTACATTTGCAAATCTTTACTAATGAGGAACAAAGTCCTAGGAATGATATTTTAGGAATGATACTGAGAAACTGGATCTCCTTTAGAAGAAGGTAATGAACTGTAGACTCCCTTGATGTTCTCGACCTTGATTGTTTGCTTGCAGACGTTTCATTGCCCAACTACGTAACATCATCAGTGCTCCTGGGTGTAGGGTTTATAATGAAGAGAAGAGCTGCAGAAGGAAAATGTAGGAAGCATGATTGGAAATGGATGTTTTGCCTGGAGAAGACAACTAAGAGACATGATAGCTGTATTTAATTTGTTGTTATGTAGAACATAGGGCAAAACTGTTCAGTTTTTCCAGAAAAGAGAACAAGAAACAACATTTAAATTATGAGGAAGTAGATCTTTGTTGGATACCAGGAACTATTTCCCAGCAGTAAGGGCTGCTTAACAATGTAATAGGCGTCCTTGGGAAGAAGACCACACCCATTGGACATTTTTAATCAGAAGCTTGATAACTACCTATTTAGAATCTTGTTAATGATGAATTCCAACCCTGGGCAGAGAGTTGGGCTAGAACAGCGGTTCTCAACCTGTGGGTCGGGACCCCATTTGGGGTCGAACGACCATTTCACGGGGGTCGTCAAACAACGCAGTCCGCCATTTTTTCCCCCCTTTTCCTTAGCTGTGCTACTCCCTTTTATTCTATTGGCTTTTGCAAGCCAATAGAATAGACTCTCTTGAATAGAGTCTACTTCTATTGGCTTTCAAAAGCCAATAGGAATTGTCCAGGCTGTCTCTGCCCTGCTGAGCCCGCCAAAAGTCCCATTCTGCAAACGGTGCTGCACCAGTTGAGTAGTCCTCGACTTACGACCGGTTGGGGGGTCGCGGCATTAAAAAGGCTGAGAACCACTGCGCTAGAAGATCTCTAAATTCCCTTCCAATTTTTACCTACCTACAATTCCAAACATTCTGTACACCTCACATAGACAGAAGATGATAATGGACTATCACTCACATTATTCCCAACTGTTATGCTAGCTAGGGTTGAAGGAAATTGGGATCTAATTTCATGGATCAGGCACCAGGTTACCCATAGCAGGTGCAAGAAGAAATGCCTTATGTCAATTTTTTTTTCAACCCATAGCAACTTGCAGTTACAGGTAGCCTTCGATTTATGACCACAATTGAGACCACTGCTAAGCAAGACAGTTATTAAGCGAGTTTTGTCCCCATTTTATGACCTTTTTGTCAGTTGTTAAGCAAATCACTGCAATTAAGTGAATTATACTGTCATTAAGCGAATCTGGCTTGACTTTTGCTTGACAGAAGTTGGCTGGGAAGTTACACATGGGGATCATGGTACCCCAGGACAGAGCAACCATCATAAATACACGTCAGTTGCCAAATGCCCAAATTTTGATTATGCGACCATGGGGATGCTGCAGTGGTTGTGTGAGAACTGGTCATAAGTCCCTTTTTTCAGTGCCGTTGTAACTTTGAATGGCCACTAAACAAATGGTTGTAACTTGAGGACTACCTGTATGTGGAGTTTTGAGTTTGAAGTCCATGCATCTCCAAGGCGGCAAAACTGAGAAAAATTCCCTTTAGAAAAGATCAGCATTTTTTTTTGAGAGCCTATGAAATTCAGAACCTAATTTAAAACACCCTTTGAAACTGGTCGCATCTGCCAAATGAGGCTGTATTTTGCCGAGATCCGAAGTGGAAGAGGCTGATCTCACTCTTCTTGATTTACACAGTCCAGCAACAATCCCCAGTAGACTGTTCCCAAGAAGTGTGGCCTTCAAAACTAATCCCCCACAAAGTAGACTTTTTTTGATGTCTGCTTGCACCAGGCTATATAGCAACGTTTATAAATTTGTATTTTCATTCAGCACTTTTTCAAAATGGCTTCTTTTCCATCAAATTTGGCTAACTTTATCAAACACCAAGTTGTTGCCAAAGCTGCTGACTGGGAAGATTTTAAAAAGGGATCATTCAGACCCCTCCCTGGAGCAATCAGTATCTAACTGGAACTTTTAGTCCAGGGGTATTCAACCGTGGCCACTTTAAGACTTGTGGGCGTCAGCTCCCAGAATTCCGCAGCTGACTAGGGAATTCTGGGAGTTGAAGTCCACAAGTCTTAAAGTGAATAAAAGCAAATATATATGTCCCAGGATCCAATCTGAGTTGATCACTGGGACCTTTGGTATCCTACAAGTAAATCACAGCAAGTGGGATTGAGTCTGAGCCATTGGTAGTTAAAAATCACATATTTTAGAGGTAATCTACAGGGGCTAAGCATATCTAATTGTTTTGGATTGAACTGAATATGTGGTACTCACCTAACAATACGAGGCCATGGGAAAAGACCGACAACCAGTTGCTAATAATATATGTGGGTTTCCTCTCTCTGTTCATAGGTATAGGAGATACTCTGTCAAAAAACTGGCTCAGATTGATGGCTTTGAAGGATATGGAAGAGGATGCAGCTCTCTTACAACTACTTGAGCCTAGTTGTTGAACTGTTGAGTTGCTGTTTCTTTTGTGTAACACAAATGTGACGCACAAAATAAAATGAAGAGATCTGTCCAAACTGCTATCCTGATAATTAATCCCGCTATATTCACATGCACATCGAAGGTTATTTTTCTTAATGTCCCTGTTTCCTAGCAGTGTGAGAAATGTCTGGATCCTTTCTGAAACAAAATGGATGAAAAAGAAAAATAATGATGGGCTCCCTCTTACTGATCAGATTAAAGTGACTGGGAGCCATCCAGCATTTGATACAATATTGACGGCTATATAAATATTTTAAATAAATAAATAATACCCAGTTAGGAAATTATAATTTAATGCAGAGATAAACCATCCTTTTCAATTGGGGGAGGGGGTGTGTCGCCTTGGAATTTTGAGAGCTTTCCAAAATGGCTTCCATGGTGAATGTGACCAATTGCAAAGCATCCATTTACCAGAAAGGAAAGTTGCTGAAGTTGTTTTAACTTTGTCACACTTTTCAAACAGGAAGATACAGGTGGTCTTCCACTTACAACAGTTCATTTAGTGACCATCCAAAGTTACAACGGCATGGAAAAAAATGGTATTTTTCATACTTACAACCAATGCAGCATCCCCATGGTTACGTGATCAAAATTCAGATGCTTGGCAACTGATTCATATTTATGACATTTCCAGTGTCCCAGTGTCATGTCATCACCTTTTGTGACGTTCTGACAAGCAAAGTCAATGGGGAAACCAGATTCACTTAACAACTGTGGCAAGAAAATTCGTAAAATGGGGCAAAATTTATTTAATATCGGTCTCATTTAATAACAAATTTTGAGCTCAATTGTAGTCGTAAGTTGAGGACTACCTGTATACTTGACTTGTAGCCACTGTCATTTTCTATGAATGCCTACAGAGTTATAGCAATAGCACTTAGACTTATGTAAGATAAGATAACCTTTATTGTCATTTTTTTACTGTGGGCACAACGGCACACATCAAAAATGAAATTTAGTTGCTCGCTCTCAAAGTGAAACACATACATGATACACACCTAAACATACTATACCGCCCCATAATGCTTTGTAGCACTCTCTGGATGGTTTACATTACAATGTCAGCCTATTGCCCCCAGCCATCTGGGTTCTCATTTTACAGACCTTGAAAGGATGGAAGGCTGAGTCAATCTGGAGCCAGTGATGGGATTCAGCCGGTTCGCACCACTTTGGCAGAACTGGTAGCTACTTTTTTGTTACCCAGGCCCTGAATGGACTTCTCGAAGCAGCATCCACATAGAGAACCGGTTGTTCACATATTTGAATGTCACCACTGCCTGGAGTCCTGTCAGGATTGAAGTCCAGCCTATTCGCAATCTTACCAACTGCACTAAAATGAACCATGATTAAAACTCCTTTAAAATCTGGAGTTCAATCCACTATCGGTTGTTCAGGGCCAAGCGGAAAGAGGCTTGAATACCCTCACACATTCTACATTCACCATTAAGAATCAGGCACAATTCAAAAGATTTTCAAATTCTGTAAGTTTTGAAATTTTATTCGATCATCTGGACACAAAAAATTCTTACAGCAGCTTTGTGGTATGTGTTTTGTGGGGGAATGTTGATAGTAAATAACTTGGTTTTTTTTTTAAACATAACATATCGTACAATTTTCAGAAGATTTTTTAGAATCACTGTAAGATAACAGATTCTACATGCTAAAGTGACAAGTTTTCATCCAGGAATATATATATATATATAGATATATATATATAGATATATATATATTTAAAATCCACTAACTTCAAGGAGCATTTGCCCTTTTAAGACATTTCTGAATATGCGCAGATTTCCCAACTATCAACAAAATCTGCACTAATCCACAAAAAGTCAACAAATAACACTCCCCCGCCTCACTCCTTGCAATATACTGCTTCACCAACCTCTGCTGCAATATTGAGAGAATGCTAAATTATTCTCAGTAAATCTTGCAGCTGGGCTCCCAACAGACATAATTACTGTACTGATATTTAAAAAAAAGACCCCTGACCACACAGAAGAATATTGAGGCACCAAATGTCTTGAAACAGAGGACATAAAGCAAGCCAGAGACCAAATGGTTCTGTTTGTTCCATCCTGCTCCCCCCATCCTCCCCCCCAAGTTCAGGATTCTAAATATCAGTGTTTGGAATATCCGATAGTAAAGTTTCGTTGTGGAAGAATTAAAAAAAAATGAGTTAAGGGCTGCCATGGTGCAATTTCTCATTAACTTTTAACAACAATCAAGGTGTGATATCCTATTTGTAACTGTTCATCACTAATACCTTCCAATCTTGGAGAAGAGAAAGAGAAAAGTTTGCCAAAAAAAGGAAAAAAAAAGAGAGAAACCACTGGCTGCAACGATAGAGTGAGGACACTTTGAAAAACAAACTGTCACTAGGTTGGGCCATCTGCTTAAGTATAGGCTTTGTAAAAGCTGGGCATGGCAGATTGGCTCTACCGGAGTAGGATTGTTAAAAATAACATAGAAGAAAGAAAGAATCACAGTATCCTCAAATCCACACAGACACAATGACTTTGGACTTCTAATTAGGCTACTTTTTGTAATTCCAGGAATGAGATATTGCATTGGACTTTAAACGTTCCTGTGAGAACCCACCCCGATGGGAGAGGATCAACCAATCTCAGCCTGGGGCAGCAGGAATGTTCTGGAACAGCCATAGGGAAGGCGGGAAGACACATCCCAATTGGTTGCAGAGGAGAGACATTCTGACCTTTCTCTCCTTTGAGCGTGGGCAGTTTAAAATGATAAATGGAATTGACCTGCTCTCTCACACCAGGCATGCGCAAGCACACCCAGGGATGGGTTTCCAATATGGATTCTGCATCTCCTCTACCTCGTTTTCTCCTTGCCAGGAGGTCAATCCAGTCGGGGATTGCTTCGCTATGGTCGGACCGTTTAAAAACAGAGGAGAGAGGAGAGCACAGTTCTCAGATGTGTAAACCGCAACAAAATTAAAACAAAAATAGAACGAATACAACAACCCAGGAGGGAGAGGAAATGGAAAACACATGCCCTGGGAGATCAAACATGCGCACAGAGGGAGAGAAATCGAATGCTCCACTGGTTTCAGTCCGTGAGCCTCGGGATGCTGCTCGTCTGGAGGGACAGAAGGACAAGGGACTGTGCCCGATTCCGAGAGCACTCAGCATTTTGACAAGGTTTCTTTGAATTCTGACAACAGATTTCCCAATAAGGTTGAATCGTCGCATTTTCCATCAATGGACACAGAGTTTTCTCCCTGCCAAAGGATTCATTGAAAAGGTGGGAAGGGGGGGGGGGAGAGAAAAAATAATATATTTTTAGGGTAAGATAGCATGATTGTTGGCTCTTCCCTATCCAGGCTCTCTGTTTGTTTGTTTGTATCCCTTTATTTCATCCAATGCAACTTCTTCCTCCTATTTTTCCCACAACAAGAACCCCTGGCTCAAAGTTACCAGCCAGCTTTCATGACTAAGGAGGGACTAGAACTCACTGTCTCCTGGCAATTAGCCCAAAGTCACTCAGCTGGCTTTCATGCCTAAGACGGGGACTAAAACTAGTTTCCCCATTTCTAGTCTGGTGCCTTAACCACTAGATCAAACTGTTTCTCATAATCATCTTTCCTCTCATCTGCCTGGAAACTGAATCATGTTTGTTCTTTTCTCCTATTCCTACAAGGAGATGTCAAAATTCATCTGTCTGTTAGGAATTCTAGAAGCAACTTCATTTCTCCCCTGCGGAAGGGCAGGCAAATCCTCATTATGGATTTAGCAGGGAGTTAGATTGAGAGAGGTGTTGAACAGACAAGATTAACTTACTCTCTTTAAAAAGCAAATCCAAGTTGGAAGTTGACAAAATATGTAACACTACTAATGCCACTACCTGTCATCTGATGGCCATCTTTGCTTTCCGCAAATGGTGTGTTTAAAGAAGTAGATGCATGCAAGTCAGGGGGCCTCAACCCCCGGTCCGTGAACCGGCACCAGTCCGTGGCATGCCAGCAACCGGTCTGCATAAACAAGCAAAGCCCCATCCGTGGGATGCAGGCAGCACACAAAACCATGTACTCTCCGGTCTGTGGAAAAAACTTTCTCCATGGAACCGGTCCCTGGTGCCCAAAAGGCTGGGGACCCCTGATGTAAGTCTTATTGCAAATACTGAATAATTACAAGAGCAACACCTATTGTGTCGACTCCCAAAAAAATTAAACAATTTCTTTTGCATTAACTGCTGGAACTGATTTATTATTTAATACTGAAATTCTAACTAAGGATAATATTATGAGTACAGGTAGACCTCACTTAATGATGTGATGATGGTGCTGGAAAAAAATGGATTGGCATCCAGTCTTTGAAGCTGTGATCATGACAGCACCTTTATGATGGTTACAGCTTCCTGTGGTCATGTGATGTAATGAATGGCCTTAGGGGAAAAAGGAGAAGAGATGCTGCCCAGGAAACAATCAGCCAAGAGAAGCAGGAGCCCCCAGTGGCCTAATGGTCAAAAAAAGAATCTTAGTAAGGACTGGTCCTAATTGTTCAAATGGGGGGGGGGGGGAGTTTGTACTTTCAGACTTGCAAGATTCTGATACTGTAGCCTCACCATAAAGTACAATTTGTTTGTCTAAACATGTATCCTGTTTGGTTTACCTGGGAGAGCGGATCACATTTTGCGACCCTCACAGCCGTCTTCCGACAAGCAAAGTCAATGGGAAAGCCGGCAAAAGGTTGCAAGTCAGTCAAGGGATGTCTCGCTTAAATCCCCGTGGGTGGGATTCGCTGAACAAACACAACCGGAAGTGTAAGTTGGTGTGGTTGTGTGATTTTCTCCTTTCCAATCACATCGCTTAGTGAGAGGGTTGCCATTTTGAATTAGAGTCATGGAGCGGAGGACTACTTAGATATTTTACTTTTATTGAGGAAGTGAAAAAACGTCTAGAGGTGAGAAAAGTCACCACCTACTACTGAGTGCCTGTGTTAAAACATCTGGTTTCTGCAATGCGTCATATGCACAGTGGGACAGTGTCCTAGAATGC